GTGCCATTCCATAGAGCAAAGCAAGCTCTACAAAGTGAACACCAGAAAACAACCAACTGAGTCGTTAGCCAAAATCAAAAAAATTGTCGGCTGAAAATTGAATTTTTGCAAAAAAAAACAGTCTTACCACGATTGTCATACAGAAGATACATAGTAATCCATAAATGATTGCGCTGAATTAGAAAAAGAAGAGAGTACAAAAATGGCAGACTCCGTCCCCAGCTCCTCCCCATATTTGATTGTTTGTTGCAAGTCTTATTAAATATAATCTTGTAATTATATCTCCACTTATAATTGAGAAATACCAAGTTAAATATGAAAAAAAAGAGGCGTTTTTGCATTTTGGGAGTATTTTTGTTTCTAATTTTAAGCCGAAAAAAATCCAGCAAAAGTACTTGTGAGTACTGTTATATGTTCAATCTATGATAACCAAGTTGGAGGTCCGTAGGAACTTTCTTGGAGGAAATTCAATTTTTGGGGTTTCAATTTTTTAAAAGTTACTAAAGCAACTAGTTCGCAACTTTCTTCAGAAATCTGTTTCTTTCTCTTCATCTTCACCCAGTAAAGACAGATTGATCTTCGAAAATGTGGACCTTATTGTGCGAGTTTCTCACGCACACTAAACAAAAACTCTGTATCATGTTGTTTACGTGTGACCAAAATCATCTTTGTAGCTCTGCTGTCAGCCGGTAACAGCAATTTTCGCACCGCTTCACAGAGTTATTCTTACCCACTACAACACTACAATTACGATTTAATGCCAGATGAATTACCGTACACCGGTGCTTCGCTTTGCCACTAATTACTAGCCATTTGCAGCAGCTCTGAATGCTAATTATTGAGCACTGACGCTCATCAAATCACAAGGCAGGTAGGCTTGGCTCATAATTTCCTACTCTTACCGCTTTCATCACCGCTTATGGAACTCGTTCCGCTTTTTCAAATGCTTTGATATAAATACTTATTGAGAACTGTCTAAACAATCAATAAAAGGCGATCTTTGTTGCCATTCCATAACTCGAGACAGAAAACTGTTTACAAGTCTAAATTCCATCAAAAGCTGCCAAAAAAGAGCTCTAAGAATTTTTGGTTTTTTCTCAGTGCTTATCATCACCTTGGTCACTACTTCTTAGACCTAAAAGTGCACCCACTGTCTGATAACAATACGTCTTATCATCTTGACGATTTCCAGAATTCATGGTAAAGAATTAGTCTCCAATCTTATCATGTAGGAAACATTCCTCTTTCTGTCAAAGCGGATGAAGTTCCGGTCTCCTAATGACTCCTTGACTCCTTCCCTGAAAAGAAGAGTTTTTTGCTGTTAATAGTAGACCCCAATGGGTCTCAGTATAAAAACAAGACTATCACCTTTCAATGCGAAAGTTGCCCTTGGCCACCAACTTCAAGGAAAAAAGATTTTTTTTTGCTTTCAACTAGACCCCACTGGGTCCCAATACAAAAACAAGAGCGTGCCTTCTAATGTGAAGGTTGTCTCTAGCCACCAGTTATACAGCTGCTCAATGATGATTAGTTCTGGTAAAAAAACGTTTCATTTATTTTCACAAAACACGCTCGCAAATTTTGACTTTTTGCTGATCGAAAAGAACTGATGTATCTTGTGGTGATCTTCAGCTCAAAAAAAAAACTTTTGTCAGTAAAGCGAAGGGGCCGCGCATACATCATGCGATTTCATCGTCTCGCAAGTCTTCCAACAGGACAACTGTTACAAGCCCATTGCATGCCGAACATCTTGCATTTCAATTGTGATAGTTATTCGCGATTAGTCGAATAGGATAACGTCATAACCGAAATGCAAGACGAAAGGCATGTAATGGACTTGTGACAGTTGTCTTGTTGGAAGACTCGTGAGGCGATGAAATCGCGTGATTTATGCCCGGCCCTAACTCAAAAGAGGCATATATCACATTGGACTTGAGCCTTCAATAAAAAACTGGGAACATACCTGGAAAAACTTAGATAATCACAATTCGGGCAGTGCAACCCCTTTTAAAGGTTTCGGATTAGTACTAATTTATCATTGCCAAAAAAAGTGCGTGTCACTTATTCATCTAGTAGAAAACTAGAAGTTGTTTTAGCATTCTTTGAACAAATTTTCAAAGTGCAATCTAGTGTTTTCAGCTCTTACTGTCGTTATGTGATAGAAATAAAATTTGCTTTGATTCTCTCGACGAGTAATTTCTCCTCTTACAAAAAATTCTTACGTATCCCCAACTTAGTCATTATACAGGAGACACACAGTAGTATTCTATTATATTTGCTGGATTCTATTATTCCAAAATTGGTAATGTCATTTTCCCGGGTTTTCATGTTAAACTTGGTAATTTCTCTATCAGCGGAGCATTTAAAGAGATATAATTCTAAATTCTACTCACCGACACATGTGAGGGGACCCCGGGGCGGAGTTTGCCATTTTTGGACTATATCTTTTTCAACAATTTCTATGCACAAAGAAATTTTAGCAAGTGCCTTCATAAACACAACTATATATCTAATTTATGACGAGAAATTTGATTTATAAATGGTTAATTTTTCGATTTTGGTTTTGATTTTAGGCCTCGTGGTGCTCCAATGGTTATTTTATAGAGCTTGCTTTGCTCTAACAGTGCCCTGAGTCTGCTAAGGAAACAAAAAAGTTTGATTTATGCAAGAAGGGTAAAGAAGTGTATGTGGTTTCAAGTGTATTACTACGCTTACCGTTAATGGAGACGTGATCGGCATCAAAGTTCTCGCGCCACCTTTGCACACTTGTGCGTCATCTCTGAATAACTCGTCCATCCATTGTTCTCGATGTGTAAATGTCCCTGGCAGACGTAATCTGTCGTGCACTTTTGAGGACAGATCTTTGACGTTTTTGGCAATTTTTTGTTTCGAAGAAAATCTAAGTATGCACCTGCAAAATCAAAATTACTATCTATTACAGTGCAAGCGATCTATAGACTCTAATAAGATTCGTATAATTCTCTTTGTTCATATATTAGATCTTTTTTCAATGCATTTTTGAAAATTCCAAGTTCTTTCCTCTCTTTCTTTGAAGGAGAATGGGACGAGTTACCAGCTCTTAAACAAACCAACATAATATCATGCATTTTGAGACGCTTTACAATGAGACATTGAATCATTTGTTTAGCAAGCGCAGCTGTTCTTCATAGAATTTATTTGATGACATCAATTCTTGCCGGTTAACATTAACATGAACTAAAAGTTTGTTCGCACCATGTTCAAAAACTCGTCCCTTCTTCGTGCTTGACGGTTTCGCTTGGCATGATTTTTATTTGGAAGAGTACCCTTTACTTTCTAAAAGCTCCATGGTGGCTTTCCATGTTCTGATTGCAGAGATAAAGGTGAAAGAAGTCCACTCAAACTTCCGATATTTTGACCATGTCAGTAAAAAAAATCTGTGCAATAGTAGCCAAAATTTATTTTGATATTTTCGACATCCTCTTTCTAAACGAGCAAAATATGCGCTAATCAATTTTCCTATGAATATACAGGGTGTCCCAAAAAATGTGTTTACTGTTTGATTGTTAATAACTCGCTTGTCATTAAGTCTTTCGAGAAGCTCTAGGAACCATTTTGTAAAGCTGGTTTTAACCTAGTTTTCCAGTATGGAGCGAGTTACCAGTCTTCCTTCATGACTGTAGGATTACGGTAGAAAAATTGAAGAGGTTCTTGCTTCATTTAGGCTCACATTTTACCTCTAAAAAGACCGAAGAATCTGAAAACTCTTATATTGGGTTAATCAGGGTCGTTGGTTTCCACTAGCAACCCGCACTTTACCTTAATGCTTTTATCAGAAGTTATGCCAGATATATCGTAACGACAGATTTCTGATATCCGTCGAAAATTTGATTAGGCTATACAGAAAAGCTCTGCGAACGCAAAAGGTGATGTAGTGAAATCAGCATGCAAGAAAACCTTGTCACACAAATTTTCTGATTTTTTCTAAAAATTTCTTTCGAACGGTCTATCTTACAGTTGCGCCATAAGCTGTGAGTTCCTACCGTAATAGTACAGTAATGAAGGAAGATCGATAATTGGCTCCTAATGTAAATCTAAGTCAAAGCCAGCTCTACAAAATGGTACCTAATCGTTTCCAAAGATTTCATGACAAGAGAGTTATTAACAATCAAGGTAGGCTAATTTATTTTGGAACATTCTTTATATGATCTTCGAGAAAACTGCACGAAACAGCAAAATCAATTTTTTGCGTTTCCTAAGAAAAAGTTTGCACAGATAAGCTCTACCAGAACAAATTTTGCTTATTCAGAAAGAGAATGCCATAAATTTGGCTGTTTTGATTTTTTTGCACAATTTTTAGATTTTTGTCGGAACTGCTTGAACCACAAAACTCAGGTGATCCACGATCCACTTTTTCAATCTCTGTTTCTGCAATGAAGGCTTAGTGAGCAAACTCAGTGTTCCATAAAAATCTAATCTACCCTTCGTAATGAAATTGATTCCTGCAAAAAATATCAAAAAAAACGCTATTACAATTTCTGAAGATAGTTTAAACGAGAATTCGGCTCAACTAATACTGCGCATATGAGAGACCTCCGATTTGTGACCTACAACTTCAGGCATCAGAATTACTTGCGAAAAAATCATTTCCTGTCTAAAGCGAATTTTTCCGAAAAGGGCGTGGTTGGAGGCGGAGCATGCCAAATCGAGCGCTGCATCTCACGCGCGTTCTACTTTTCACAAAGTTTTACTGATCAGGTTGTTTTCTAAAAGGTTTTTGAGTACTAGTATTTTAAATATTTAGTGGTCACCTCCTGAAATTCTACTTAGTTTTCACGCCCTAATCATATATTTATCGTGGATAGCGTGCTCCCAGAATAATATGTTTTTTGAGAAAAAGTTGAAGGACTTTATGTTTTTTTCTCATATCAACCAGATTTTTGCATTATTTCTTTCATTTTCGCATATTTTTGCTGAACTTTTTTTTTCAGTAGTCTTTAGCCCACATTTTAGCGTATTATATGACAGCACGTCTATGGAGTTGGAGCAGTGTTCGGTTACGAGTGGCGGTGTGCATCGCCCTTGCACTAACCATAGAAGGCCTAATGAGAAGCAATCTCAACATGGTAATTGGAATAATATTCTCGCTGAATTCTCCACTAATTCGCACTCTATAGGCCATGGTATGCATGCTGAATGAAACAGCAATCGGTGAAGTGCGGCCTATGCGAAGTACAAATTATTCAGCAAGCTGTGAAGTGCTCAAATTTGGCAATGAGAAAGTGTACAAATACGTAAGTGCGCCATCTTGCTATAAAGGATTACGGTAATTGGCTAACTCTTAAGAATGGAGAATTGATGTGGACGTCTCAAGAGCGGGCTGTAATATTTGCTTCATTTTATGCAGGTGGTCTCATAGCCACGCTAGTCACTGAGGTCAGTCAGCAAATTCTTTTGGAACATTAGAAAATACAAAAAGCTGTGTTAGATTATCAGGCAAAAAGCTAAACAACTTTTTAGAAATTGAATCGTTGGGCTGGCGCAAAACGGTTGGTGCTTCATGGTGCCGTCATTAATGTGCTGGGAACATTTGCTACTCCATTTGTGGCAACTCAGCTTGGAGCCATTCCGATGGTCATACTACGATTTGTCATGGGCTTCGGGCAGGTAAATTATTTGCGGGTTTTTCACTTCATGCCGACTCACGACCGTCCTCATGTCAACAGTTGTCTTAACTGCATTTTTCTTTTTTAAAGCTTCACAAAAATAAAGTTCCTCTAGTTCGTGCGACCTCTTTATGTCACTTTTTCGTGGTTGTACATTATACTCTCAATCATGTCAGAAAACTCTATCTCCACCGATCTACTTCCTGCAAATTACAAAAGTTTTGCAATAACGCAAAAAAATTGTTGAAATGAGAACTACTTTCACATGTTCGGAGTTTGGACTACTTTACTTGTTTCCGCTCATTCTTTTGCTCAGAGCACCACTATCACAACATCGGTATTGCTTAGTTTTTCTGATTATGAATTTTGTGAGAAAAGTAGATGAAATTCCGCTCGTGTGCGAAGATTAAGCGGAATACTGTATCATGCTTCATCTACATAATGGGCACCTGTAAGTAAACCAGTAAACCAAATTGCTTTTTTTTTTGCAGCTCTTTTGAAAATAATCGCAAGGCAGAATTATTGAGCAACGAATTACCGAATAGCGACCGTACTCCAACAGAATTTCCATTGTAATCCCTTTTTTATTCAACGAGCTGGGCCCAGTTATTTGTCTCGATCACGGACTCACATACAAAATTACATTTTGGGAAAGTTTAAAAAGGAATTGATTATTTGAAAAGTCGTAATCTTTGCAAGGCTCTATATGTGGTCTACGGTAGCTACATAATATTTCCTTTCTATCAATGAAGGCCAAAATTCAGGGTCTGCTTTGGCCGTGTATGAGCGTATTGGTAGGACACTGGTTCCCACCCACCGAGAAAAGCACTGCCTTAGCAATTGCCACTACTGGGAACCAGGTAGGCCTTTTTGCCATATAAAGACGTCAGAAAATGAATTGCTCTAGCTTTCCGTGGTGATCGCAATGTTTGCAACGGCCGAACTTTGCCAACTGCCATTTATGGGAGGATGGCCAATGGCATTTCATGTTTATGGTAAAGTCTGCTTTTATACAAGGACTCTCAAGGTAATTTAGCTGTTTAGGAATCCTCGGGGTGTTCCTGTGCATTCTATGGCAAGTCTTTGTAGACGATGTGCCTGCCCATGCACATGGCATCACAGATGAAGAACTTCAAGTCATCCATAATACTGGTCGAAGACCTCGTGTGCAGGTTTGGATAGCACAGACTGCAAAAAACTTGAATCGTTCGAAAAAAAATTTTTAGAAGGCAAATTGGGTTCAGTTGCTCTCTTCTCCTGTCGTTTGGTCGATTGCCGGAAGCGCTTTTGCGCACAATTTCATTACTGTTGGCACTGTCACATATCTTCCTCTGTATTATAAAACCGTACTCAATATGAGTCTTACATCAGTGAGTTGTTGATTAGACATCAAAACGCCTAGTGATAAAAAATATTTCTTAAGAAAATTTATTCTCTGGGGTTAGATTCATCATTTAGGTACTCTTTTCTCCCCCAAAGACTATGTATTTCAAGTGTAGTTACTAAATGAACCCCCTTATCCTCCGTGCAAAAAGAGAAATTTGTTCAATTTGCTGATTTTCTGACCAGAATATTATACTGACTAAAATTGGCGAGATAGTGCAGCAGTTGCAAATTTTGAGGATTTTGCAAATAATTTTCATATTGCTAGTCAATGGCAAAAATTACACAAATCATACTGCGCAACAGAATTTGACAAATGATGTTTGCCTACAGTGATTACAACTTTTGCGCGGAAAGAAAGAGATCCTTGAGTTCTTTATAGTGTAAGAACACCAATTTACCTATAAATTTTACTAGGCTAATTGTTCCGCTGGTAGTGGCACGAAAAACTGAACGCACATGCATACAAGTCAGTAAGGTGGGCGCCAGAATAAGCGACTGTTTTGTTCAGCAGCAGAAGGCGCGCAGAATTAATGGCAGGTAGTAATTTGGCATTACGTCGGGCGGAAAGCGCGGACGCCGCAACAACAAGTTTTTCCTATCCTGCGAGTGTTTTATCTATCTCATCCTCAAAGGCCTCCTCATCATCCTCCCATTCTCTGAGAGGACATTTCATCATGTTTTCATTTCCGTCCGGCGTGACGCCAAGTTACTACCCACCGTTAATTCAGCGCGCCTTGCGGTTGAACAAAACAGTCGCTTAGGTAGTTCAGTATGTGTCCTGCACATACTGACCTATAGTGTGGACCCCGGCCAGCTTCCCATAGGTACCTGCGCGACGCTCCCGCAGCGCATGCCTTCAGTGCGCTATCGTTTCTGCTTCATATGGAATTGTTATGTTTTCTTCTCTAAACTGGCTTTGTTCTGTTTGTGAACGCTCTGTTTCAGGTGTAGACGACTCAGGAGAACTTCCTACGATGGGTTTTTGAGAGCCTTAATAGTCTTAACAGCCTTTGTCTCAGGAATTCTCTTTTTTTCGATAGCGGAGATTTTAGCATATTTTAGTGGAATATTTCTCTAAAGATTTTGATTACAGAGTAGGCGTGCCTATCCGATTGATTTGTAAAGTACACATAATTGCTTCTTATTCTTTTGTAATGCGTCAGTGGGGCTCTGGTTGTACAAATGTGCTCGCTAGCTTACGCTTTTTAACTTTTTTCAGATGATCACAGAAGGAAACGTTTCGAAAGTAGCCTTCGACTCTTTGTCTCTTCTAGCATTCTCAATCAGCGGTATTTACATACTAGCATGCAGGAGATTGACTGATATATGCGCGCTAGTGGGGGCTGTGAACGTTCTCTTCTTGCCTAGGCTCTTCTCGAGCTGAGACCGATGATTTCCACTTCTTATTTCATTCCTCCATTATGTAGAAATGTTTTTTTACTCATAAATGAACGAGAAGCGTCAGGCCGAGCGCGCGTTGCGTATGCGCCGCGGCGGTACCTATGGGAAGCTGGCCGGGGTCCACACTATACATGGCGGAGATTGTACGACTTGTATGTTTATTCTACCTTTTTAGCTTGGTTAGATAAATAGTAGGCATCAAATTTCCAATTTGGTGTCGTAGACTGCCGTGCGCAGTGTGCAAATTCACACATCGAGCTTTATATAATTCGTTTACACTACCTTCTTGCTCTAGGGAATTCTTCACTCTCGCGAATAGTATCTATTTCAGAACGGCATCCTGTCGGCACTTCCATTCGTCTGTCAATTCATTTCGAAAATCATCTACGCAGGATTTGCCGATGAATCGAAAAAGCGTGGTTGGATGGGTTTTACTAACGTAACAAAAGCATGCAATTCAAGCGGTTTGTACAAAATTTCAATTTTTTCCCAAGATAAAACTTTTTCCTTTTCAGCATCATTTGGGCTCGCTGTCTGCTTTGCTTTGCTATGTTTTTGTGACTGTACCTACCGCATATCAGCTGTAATCTTAGTATGTCTAGCGATGGCGTTTGTTTCGGGTTATGTTCCCGGATATAACACAAGGTTAAAAACATGACGTCATAGTTTTCAAGGGTATATCCTGTGATTTAGCGTGGTTTCTATAGCACCATCTCAAACCGCTGCCATAGCATCGTTCAGCAGGATCTGGGCGCAGGTAGGTCGAAATTACGGTATAGATTTGGAGATTACGGTTTGGGTCTCAGCTGGAAAAAATTACAGATTGCTTCCTCGCTAGCGCCATATGAGATTGGAGCACTAACGAAGCAGGTAAACACAATCTCCCCCCCCCCCCCCCCAATTTACAAAATTTCAGTATCCACAATGACCATTTTAGGGAATTCTGCAAGAGTGGCGCATTGTCTTTCTTACTGTAGTAATAATGTGCATAATCACAGGAGCATTCTTTCAGATCTCAGGCTCAGGTAAATCATTTTCGCTAAATAGTTACCGTATAGTTACCGTACACCTTCAAAATCATTATTTTCTAGCTGATGTCCAATCATGGGATGTAGCGGCTACCATTGGTGAACCAAAACAAGAATTGATAGAAGAGACCCCGGAAATACAAGAAGAGGCGAAAGTGAACGGAGTTTCTTCCTAGCAGAGTGTTCCAACTAGAATTCGTAGTCCTGCGCAAGGTCGCACAATCATGTAAATACCTCACTGTCAACCTCTCAAAGCATATCTCACAAGCAAAATATGTGATTTTTCTTCAACAGGGAGGTTATCCCGTTATGTGCAATATTTGAATAAGAATTGAACATCTTTTGGTTTCTTTACATAAACTGTCCTAACTGGGCATACGTATGGTAGTATCTAGCTAGCTGAAGTAAATATCGCCCCATCTTTCAGCGACACCTAGGATTACGACACATTGAGGAACTTCTGGTAGGATACGTATCAGTGATGGGGTCCGGCTGGGCCGGCGCAGACAGTTGGTACAGGCTGCAGTATGTTGAGATGCGCGGATTGCGCAGATTCCTAATGTGAGTGATCACAAGAATAAATAAAGCCACGGGTCTTGATCTGTTGTTTATATACATTTAGTAATGTGCAGAAGATAGTATACCATTTTTGGTGTACGAACCGCACCCAACTGCTCCAAACGCGAGCAAACCTAGGCGTGACGCTGCGCATGTGTCTCGCAAAGCGTTCTGGCGCATTTCGCTAATAGTAGCAGTCCAAGGTGAAGGGTCCCACGCGGAATTACTTGTCGTATTTAGCTTACAGCGTAAGCAGGGTACAGCTTGTACATCTAATCGGCTGCATGTACTTCTTGATTGCGAAATTTGGATTGTAATACATTTTATGGTAGCTTCATAATGCCCGAGTGCGCTCGTAGAGAAAAAAGCATTTAATGCAATTTCATGCATTTTATAATTGACAATGACTCTGAAAGATTTGATTTGCAAAGAGTATCGAAGAACAAACACAAAGGTATGGAGAGGTACTCGTAATTTCTCTACACATATACTATAAACTTCACACGTCACCGTCAAACGTAAATTATGTGTTCGGCTTGAAAGAAAACAAAAAGCAAAAGATCTCCTCAAATCACCTAGATGCTAACAAGCTGTGCACAAAGGAAAATGAATAGTTATAGTTCAGTAGCTTCATTTACAGCGGCAGAACGGCTTTTACGTGGGAAACATCTACGAGCCAACATTTCGATTTCTTTCTTTTGCTCGGCGTTCCTACAAACAAATTGTATTTTTTCATGAAATAATATATGAAGTATTCATAAAACATAACTGCATAAAATGTGATAATACTTTAAAGAAGGCGTAAGAATGCTGACGAATAGCAAAAAGAGAGATTTATGTTCGAACTTCATTCAATTCCTACGCCTTCTTAGTAGATCGGATAGCTTATCATTCATCGATGTTCTATTCCACTAAATCAAATTTTCAAGCACTATCGAACATTTGTGACGAGTTATTAATTCGAAGTATATATCCTTACTGATGAGTTCCAAAAAAATTATTTTTTTGTTGCTTCTTTCATTTCCCTTATATAGAAAGGAATGAAAATTCGGGACTTGGTCTTGCTTGCTACCGTTCGTAAGTTGCCAAAAAACCTTCGTTATCAATTGTGTTGCGCACTGTCTGCAATGTTGCGCTGATTAAGGGACCCGTCATACTTCGCCGAAAAAAGCCCAAAAACGCTCGAGAAGCCCAAAAAAGCCCAAAAGCGCCAGAAAAAGCCGGAACGCCCTCTTTCGCGCGCAAGCAACAAATACGCATTTTGCTTCATTTTCTGCCGTCCGCACCCAAAATTACACCAGAATTCTACAAAAAGTTCCAAGACGGGTGAATACGGAATACGCAGCCATGCTCGTGAACCCTTGGCATCAATTACAAACAAGAAAATTTTGAACTAGACAAGGCCATGCAATTCCCTAAAAACAGGCTAATTACACTGAACTTTCATCCAACTTGGAATTTTTGTTAGAAATCTGACATTATTTTGATGCGTAGACGAGAGGAAATGAAGCAAAATACGAGTTCACTACGTGCGCGTGAAAGAGCGCGTTTCGGCTCTTTCTGGCGTTTTTGGGGTTTTTTGAGCTTTTTCCGGCGAAGTATGACGCGTCCCCAACACGCCAAAAAGGTCTCTTTGTTCCCCTTCACTTCTAGAGCATGATAATTTTTTACTTATTCTTTGATTTTTATTACATTGTTCATAGTGGTTCATTCCTGCTTTCACCAGCGTTCTTGTCTTCTAGGCCAAAATTAGATTTTTTGACTTTTATGATCAAACCTTTGATTCGACTGGCTTGGCGGCTGAGATGGGCTTTGTGACCTAATCAAGGCAGCTCGCGCCCGCGACGCATTCTGCGTCTCCCCGCGCGCGTGCTCTCTGATCACTACCTGGCCTTGATTAGGTTGCAAAGCCCCACCTTCCAGCCGCCAAGCCATTTGAATCAAAGGGTACAATCGTTTTCATGGCTTACCGAATTCGGTGAATCATGAATTGAACTTACATGGCCGACTCTATTTTTGCCGTGGGATCACCGGGATGGCTTTTATCAATGTGGATGGAGGCTCGATTCATTCGGTCAAATCCTTGACCACAGCTGGTGCACCGAAGCCTGAGAAAGAGAACTTTTTTGGAAACCATGGCTGATAGATCTGAGGATCAAATACCTTCTGATGGTCAGATGGGTAGCCACATGAGCTCGCACATTTTTGGCAGTTATCCAATGACCACATAGCTGGAAATAAAACATCATAGATGCAATACAGGGAGAATTATTCAGCTGCATACCTGGCATTGTTTTGGAGGACTTCCTGCCGTTTTATCTCGTACAACTGATACATCAGGGTCGGTAAAGTTTTCTACCGCTTCCTTGTAAGAAGAGAAGTTAGCCGATACTTGCTGCAAAAGTTCCGATCCGCTTGCCACTAGATCGGCCTCTTCAATCTCTTCTTTGATTCTGACCTCCTAAAAGAGACTTTGATTCGGATTTCGAAGTCGTAGCTGAAATTGTTGAGAAGAAATTGACAAACAAAAACTTTGAACATGTCAGAAATCGAAATTATCTCCCATCAATTAACGAGAATTTCTAAGATAAAATTTTCAACAAAATACTAATCGTAAGTCTTTCATTTATAAACGGATGACCTACAGTTATAAGGTTTTACTTGTTTTTTTAGCGATTTCGCACGAGCTTTAACTTTAAGATGTTTCTCGAAAAAGTCACAATTAATCTACAAAACCTTCAAACCACGATTCATTTTTTACGAGCCTACTTTAAAAAAGTGTAATGCATGAAAATTGTGCTGGAAAATGTGAAAATTAACAAACTATGTCGATAGACGAGGCTTAGTCTGCATCTGTTTCTTTTTCTAGATCTGAAACTGGTTTAACAGTGTTTTTTGAGATCTTAAATGCTTGGATGTTCATATGTGTTTTTACAGCGTTTTCGCTTTTATTCTAAAAGAATTTTTCTCACAAAAATGTCATAATTTTTCAAAAAACTGTTTGAGATTTGCTCTTGAGCTAAACAATTATTTTTGTCCCCAGTCAAATTCCAGACACTAGGGTGGAAATAATAGAACAGCAACGCAAAAGCACCCTTTCATTCAACCGAAGTGGCGGCTGGAAGGCGACCGCTCGCACCAGCGACACAGTCTGCGTCTCTCGCACCCGTGCTCTCTGATCATTCCATAGCCTTTGAATCCCCGCCCTTCAGCCGCCAATCCTGTTGAATCAACGGATAAGTTAGTGCATGACGATCTGAGTAAACATTAGGAGGGCATACATGACATGCGCTGTTTGCGTGTTGTTACCCCCCCCCCCCTTCGGCTCCTTCTCGCTCTTGAGTTATAGAATATGGAACATCGCCCAGAAATTAGCCCTAAACTTCCTGTAGGCAGACCACCTTACTCGATTGTTCGGTTGCGACGGGGAAGGCCCCTCCTTCGTATCATGTGGTTCACTATCCACACTTTCTGAACGGGGATACATGTCCATCAACTCGAGCGAAGCCGACGATGGGGTCGAAATTTGTGGAAGCGATTGGAAATACTTGGATTCTGGAGACTGGACCGGCTCGTTTCTCGCACTGCATCGGTCGCAAAGACTGTTGCGATCTTTCGATACGGTAAATTTGATGCTTCGTTCTAGCTGAAAAAAAAAGAATATTTGTAAAAATTTGGAATTTGATTCACTGCTCTCACCAAACAGTTCATGATATCTGGCAAGCCATTGATTGACTGCAGCTCAACACAAATATAGACGGCCATTCTTTGGCTATGTAACTGAAAGATAAACTTGTATTTTTAGTACCCGTCTCAGAATATTGACTCTCGGCCAAAGACCAAGTAAACAAGAATTGCATGCTTGAGCCTGCGACGGAATATCGAAAAGAGCAGAAAGCTAGAGAGAGTTTGCTCAAGATAAGAACTACATAGTGCTTAATATTTTAAAAAATGCAAATAGAAAAGATTTAGCGGGAGTGAAGTTTTTCCGTCAGAATAATTAGGTAACCAAATTTTTTGGGAATTTCAAATTATCGGAGATCCAAAAGCGTCATAATATGTTATATTGATTGGGATAATAATATTGCTTCGCCATAGCACAAAATCGCAAAAAAAAATCTATCTTCATTTTTTTGGTAAAACAAGATTGATGACGTGTACAGCAGAGTTCAGGAACACCACATACTATTAGAGAATTTTGATAAAAGAAAATCTAGAAAATCGTCTATAAATGAACTGAGATCAGCGCAATATAGCCGAGCACTTCTTTTCCGTCTTTTGTCAGATAGTATATAAGAAAAGGTTTACAAGGAAGAATTTTGCCTAGTCCGCATTTGCAGATAGCTCATATACAAAAGAAAAGAATTCTATGTGTGAAGCAAGCACTAGTTCTTCCTGAAGTTTGGGTTATGACGTTAGGTATTAAGACAACCTCTCTTGAAAGCAATCTATGATAACACTTAATTACTTGAATTTGAGAAATAGCGCGAAGACCTAAAAAAAATCTAAGACGTCCTTCAAGCGCCAGAAAATGAACTCTGTCAGATTCTTTCCCATTGATTTTAAGCAATATTTTCCGTTGAACACGAAACCCCTCAGAATTTTTTAAGTGTACCGTGCGGTCAGTAGTAAAAACTTGCGACTTTTCCCCGGCATTGATCCAAGTGCAGAATCCTCATAACAGGTATCCTGTTCTATCTACTATATGACGACCGGTTTGCATAACGTTTTTTTTTCAATTCCATAATCGAAGACAAGAACAAAAATGGCTCTTTCTTCAAAATTTATTCAAAGTACACATTCCGAGAGGGAAAGGCTGATGTACTACTTTGCCATTTTCAAGTTTCGCTAGCGGAACTTTTTTTCCTCAAGTGGCATATATGACAGTGTTTGGAAAGGCGTTGGACTATGACGCTAAAAGCAATGGCAATAGCATAAAAAATCTCAAAAATTCAGTCTAAGGTTCGGTACCCACGGATGCTGTAATAATTACAAATCTCTTACTTAGATCAAATCCAAGTATATATGGCCGGCTCCCAGATTCGTGTGGAGGCGGGTTGCGGACTTTCCTGATTTTAATGACAAGCTTAACGAGAAAATACGAAATAGAATGCTGCAACGTGGAGATTTAACAAGTTTATTTATCCTGAAAATCAGGGAAGTCCGCAACCCGCCTTCACACGAATCTGGAGGCCGATGATAGCAATATTGCTAGATCTCCTATTATTTATTAAAACTAAGAAATATTCATTTATCAAAACAAGGATAAAAAATTTTCGTGGAATCTGGATTGCGTGCTAAGTATTCAAGATAGAAATGTCCAGTTAATGTGGACAAGCTTGGTTTCAAGGAAAACAACGATCACTGGAATTACGAATCTTGTAGAAAAAAAAGAGGAAAGCGACAGAGCTGGAGAATACAGAGCTCGCAACAAACCTCCCCTTGAGCGAACCTCAGAGAGCAGAATAAAGCGCTGACCTTGCAGTGAACAAAGAAGAAATGAAGTCTGCTTGGAAGGCTTACTGCCACGTATTCGAAGAGCTGCTTATCCTGAGAAACAGAGCAGACAAATACGAGTAAGTTCGAGTTTGTGCGGGTTGTCGGCGGAGGCAGCGGAAGGTCGCTGGGCAGGATGCAGGGCGGATGGCCAGGCACGTGCGACGATCGATCGCGGCGCAGGCGCAGCAGCCTTGGCCGGCTGCCGCTGCTGCTCAGCCTCTCCGGCAGGAACAGCGCCAGCACTTAGCGCGCCACGAGCCAGGGAGTTGGGGGGAGGGGTGGGAGAGGGAGAGGGATGATGCAAGAAATGCATGAAGGGATCCCAATTTGTTCCCATAACCTGCAATATGCCTGCTTGACTTAAGTAGTCGATAGAGTTCAGTAGAAAGTCTAGCGCTCATCTCGATTCTAGTCTTCGCGCAGTTTGGCAAAATGCCAATTCTTCATATTCGCTGAAAACTCATTCTGATTACACAGCATCATTGCTTTTGCCTAGTACAGGAACGGCGCGCACTTTGTCACCGAGAACCACATACTGCGGATTCAAGGGATTGTCACTCATTCAAATCGCGCGAAGTATAGTCAAGACACTTTAGATTTAATGTGCGTATTGCACACCATGCCCGCCACCCGACGACTTGTAGGATTAGAACTTATCCATTCCTAGGGACTTTCCCTTGTTTCCTTGTCTCTATCAATGCAAATGGATGTTTTTAGTTAATAATACACTCCATACTTTCTTCTACTAGAAAAGATTTTACTGAGGAGTTACCATTAAGGCTGTCCTCGGTTGCGGCACATAGTGTGCAGACTCACATAATGTTACACGTGATTCGAGGATAAGTGCAATTCTAGTCTTCGTGCGTGACGAAGTGCCAGTTTTTCATAACTCGCTAGAAACTCATTTTTTGATTACACAGCATTATTGTTGATTATTGTTAGAAGTTAGAGGCAGTGCCCCCAAAGAAATCCCCTTTCCGGTTTTTCACCTTTTCGGAGCCTTCACCATGCTGAATCCATATCTGGCATGAAAATGGCGGAGCTTTTTTCGAAGCTCATGCCCGCATTTGCTGGAAAATATGCGTAAGTGGGCGGGTCCAGAATGAAGGACCTTCCGGATGACTTGCAGAGTAGATCTCAGACTTTCCAGATGATGGTTTTCTCTCCAGACTTCACTGATAGATTGGGGGGGGGGGGGGGAGAACATTGTATCGATGTAAAATCCCAGTAGTGGCCACTGGCAAATAGCGCGGCGACTGTAATCGCATGTTATATGCCTAGGTTTCATGATCTTGGTGCGCAAATCTGCTGCAATTCCTATCCGTGATTTGGCGTAGTTCCAGTTCTTTATAATTCTCATAAGTTTGAATATACAAGACACGATGTTGTGCATCAATTACCGCTGTTCTGCGATTCGCAACTGAGCTTCGCTCGTGATGGCTTCGAGAACGCTTTATAATCGCCTAGGTCGCGGGACCTGAATCGCGCAAACTATACCCAACACCTGAAAACAAACTCCATCATTTTTTATTCAACTAACTTGTTAATGTTAAACCAAATGAAATAAACTGTGGTTTTGAATTTTCGTGCTACTAGTGTGTGAAATTTTTGTTTCTAGGGCCCTTGAGCAAAATTCAGACACAGTCTTTTGCGCGCTGATGCCCATTTGAGGAGGTTACTGCAAGAGTTGCAAGAGTTTTTATTATTTACAGCTAGTAATTGAAGAGGGTCTTTTCAAACTATATGTTGTTCTCCTGACTTTTTTAATAAAGAAAAGATTATTCAAAAATCGCGTACTTCAACATGCTTTAAGTGAACCAAATTAATTCCATGGAATAGACTTTTATCTTTGCTACTGACATTAAATTACATTGTTGTTTTCGTGTCCGCATTGGGAAGACCCCATAATAACGAATTTTTGATCATTGCGAGACTTTGTGCGAAATTTGAGGTCATTCGGATCGTGTAATCTTCACGATTAGGTTCTGGAAACTCCCTCATATACTAGTACCTTCCGCACTGTAAAAGCAATGAAGCAAGGCTGAACCTCAGCAGTATAAAAGTTCTAGAATCTGGTTTGCCCTACGATTTTTGACGCAGCTCTCTGTTCTTTATCTTATAGCCATTTGGTTTCTGTAACGAAATCATTGCTGAGTTTGAAAATGCTTTTGCTAGCATGGTTCGAAACTGGCGTATCAAAAAGTCCAAGTTGAAGTGTTTGCAACTCGCTGTACGTAACGTAGCCATAATACCCAAAGTGTAAACCGCCATGTCGTTAAAAGAACGGTAATAAAAGAAAAAGTTAGTTTCATTCTTATGGATATTCGAATATTCATGCTTCTTTAATAAAAGAGTTTCGAAGTTTTTGGAATCCACGTTTTCAGGAGGCGGCGTGCGGGGGGTTGTAGCTCTTATAAAGCTTTATTACAAGATGCACTTAGACCATTTTAATCCAAGTTTTCCTTTTCAAAATGATAAAAAAGGTCGCTTTATACGCAAAATTTTGGTGGTCACTGTATGTCCCTCCTCCCTCCCTCCCCCCCCCCCCTTCCGCACTACCCTCTCCGTTTTCTTCTCTTCATCCTCGACTTTGTAAAGCACTACCTCGTGCTCATCACCTTTCAATTTTCTGTAAAACCAACAATTTCGAGCACGTGTGCTATCCGTGCAAGCGCGGACTAAAATTAGGGCTTAAGGTAAAAAGAAGGCTTGTTTTTAACACACTGACGACAAGGCCGATTTTTCGATTACTGCCATTTTGGACAGGAGCCTTTTTTGCTCTGCCAAACTTACGACCCACCCGTGGGTCGTATTGTCCGAAATAGCAGTCTTTTTGGAAAGATCCAGTATATGAATCCAGAACTTCTTCAAGGGGGTTATCGGATGTGCCGATTACGAAAATGGCACTCATTTTACTTGTTAGGACCTCAGTATAGGGTTACGGTAGTCATACGGTAGGCGACAAGAGATCATGAATTTTTGCGAAAATTTGTGTTTTGGGGTTAGCGAAGGTGCTGATTACGAAAATGGCACTTCTTTACTGGCTAAGGTCTTAGCATAGGTCACGAATTTCTATGAAAACTTGTGCTTTGGGGTTATCGAAGGTGCTGATTACGGAAATGACACTTATCACTGACTAAGGCTTTAGCATAGGGTTACGGTATTTATACGATGTGTGACAAAAGATCACGAATTTCTATGTGAACTTGTGCTTTGGGGTTATCGAAGGTGCTGATTACGGAAATGACAAAGCTTCACTCGTTAAACCTTAGCATCGGCTTACGGTAGTTATACGATAGTTGTTAGTTATACGATAAGTGATAAAAGGTCGCGAATTTTGTAAAAAAAAAATCCCTCTCATAGGATACGTTGGTATGCTGATTGCAGAGGTGCTCTCTTTCATTCAGTAGTGAGTCGAACTTGCGGAAAAATAGGAACGAAGCAGATTGCCGCAAGGAAGAAACCATTTTCCTGAACAAAGGGGTGTGATGTAAAAACTGATTTTGTGATCGAAGGGGTGTGCTGTGCCTGCAGCGTAGGGTCCCCAGACGTTCTCTACAGTAACATCGTAGTCTGAGCGAGTGCGTAGGAGCATTCGTCGTTATTTAGTGCACATACAACACGCCTTATCGATATGAGCGTTGATCCGGTACGTCCAAAAGTCAGTCATGTTTTCTTTACAATTCAAGGATAGAAAGTGACGAGGAAGCTGCTCTCACCGCGGACATAATCACTTAAGAGGATACGCAAACTGGAGAAGACGAAGAGATTGAAGATGGGGAATCCACCGACGAATTGGATACCAATGAATCATGGTCAGATACTATCACTACACATGATGGGTGGTATTTCGATGATTATTGCGGTATTGATCATGCCATATTAGACTCCTGTTCATCTCCTATCGATTATTTCAATCTCTTCTTAACTATGGAAGTCATTGACCTTAGCGTTGTTGAAACAACTAGGTATGGATTAGCCAAAAAAACCCATGTGAACACCTAGAGGCAGAAGAAGTAAAGAAGTTCGTAGGCTTTATCTTCGGATAGGAGTTGTACAGTGCTTTACGAGATTACTGAGCACTAGGCATGTTTTTGGTGGGAATCCAATCGGCACCCAAATCATGACACGCGTTAGGTTTGAAAAACTTCTTGGATATCTTCATCTCGTTGACAACGCTACCTACGATGGGACCGACAGGCTATACAAGATTTCGGCATTTCTAAATTCATTCAATACCACGTGCAAACGGATTTTTAGATCAGAAAAGAAAATTTGCATTGAGAATCAATAGTTCCTTTCAGATGAAGGCTACTGTTTCGACAATACATACCCAACAAGCGCCACCGCTACGGGATGAAGATGTTCAAGCTGTGTTCCGAAGCGGATTCACCCACAAAAAACGGTTTACGCTGGAAGAGACCAGTCTAGGAAAGAAAGCCTGGCTGAACATGTAGTCATGAAGCTGACAGATGATTTACTCAATAGAGGACGACATTTACACACGGACAACTGGTACACGAGTGTATATCCCTGGCTGAAAAGCTTTTGAAGAGAAAAACGCATCTCGTTGGCACCATCAGAAGAAATCGGAAAGGTACCGAAAGCAGTAGTGAAGATTGAAGAGAGGCGAATCTGTAGCACAGCAAAACGATCTAGGATTCACTGTACTGAAGTGGCGCTACAAGAGAAATGTTCTCATGTTTTCAACCTTTCACGATGACAAAAAGGATGAGCAAGGAAAGCTGCTGATTCGAGATTACAACAATTCAAAATTATTCGTTGATTCAAGCGACCAAATGGCCTCGTACACACCTTTCGTGAGAAAAACAAGCAAGTGGTACATTCGTCTATTCTTTCACATTCTCACCCAGACAACACTCGTAAATGCTTGGAGGTTGTACAGCGACTACGTCCATTTGACAGAATTTAAAATAGAAGTGATAGAGTCGCTCTAGATCTCAGAGGAACAACTTCTGCTCCTAGATATACCCTAGAAGAGATTCATGGCCCCAAATCTGCCACAAGGAAGAGATGCGTTGCTTGCTACAAAGAGCTTAGCACGAAGGAGGGATCACGCTTTGCTGATAAAAATGCTCGAAAAGTCAGTACGAGGTGCAGTTGTTGTTTGAAGCATTTTTGCGTAGACTGTTTCAGTAAGCATAAGTGCTCCACTCTGAACTGATTTATCACCTTTGCCTTAGTCATGTCTTTTTGTGCTCATGTGTGTAATTGAAGCTCATTTACTCACTGTATGCAACCGAAAAAAGAGATTTTTTACACCTGAATCACTTCTTATGATGGATTTGCTTTCACTAAATGAATTATATCTGTGTTGTCTGGGGCAGACAAGAAGAACAGATGAAAAGTTATCTTTAAAGTGTTATCTGCATCTGCTTGCATGCAAAATATCACACGCAAACCAAGGCAACGCTGCATAAGCAATTCGAGGTCAAAAAGTAATCTTTGGTGATCTAGGATATCATCATGCTAAATTGCCATAGCTCAATTCTTCGTGTTGTGTAGCAAAATGACCTGTCATGATGCAAAGTAAGCTATGATAAAAAATGTCCGTCTATAAGCATGCGCACATAAAAATTAGGATGAAATCACATTATTCTGCAAGTCCCTGAGTGAGATTATGTCCTCGTGCGCTGCCTACGGTATACCTACCGTAATTCTAACATACAATAACCTGAAGCCGGACTATAGCGACCGCAGTCGTCTAGGTATCTCCAACCATATGCTAGAATTCCACGGAGTTCTACCGTAAACTGACAAAGTTAGAGCTTTCGAAAACTTACAACCCACCGGTGGGTTGTATTGTCCGGAATGGCAGAACATGTACGACCCACCGGTGGGTCGTACTGTCGTCAATGTGTTAGCGAACAGGCGATGATATGGCACTAAAGGCATTGTCTAGATGCGCAATGGGGAATCATGTGCGACGAGTTACGAAAAACTTATGTGATCAAAGGTCGCACAATTTTTTTTCAAGTTGGGCGGTCTAAACTCATTTGGCGGGCCATTTAAGGCGACCCGAAGAGAGAGAGTTATAATCCCATTCTCAATTTATCAATTTTTTTTCACAGCACTCACCTATTTTGCAAATATACACCAGTTTTTGACCGCCCAACCTTATTGTGGCAGCAGTGCTGCTCCAAGCGTGCGGTGGTGCCCGCCAGACACCGCATACCGCCAAAGCAAACTGTACGAGCATAACTGTTTCTCTTCAGTATTTTTTGAAAGTTTTACAATGTTTGTGTTTAATTGTTTTCTCTATGGTCACCCCCACGTGCATTTCCTAGTAGTATTGAAGTCAAGGAGAAATTCGTTTTATAAAATTTGCTGATGTCAAATCGTGCTGAGTCTCGCAACAAACCCGTTCATATTCTTCATGAGAATGATGGAGTTCATCCCCATCTATAACGTACTACGCGTACCCGTAGTGCCTAAATTATGAAAATTCATTGAAGCAACATAGATGATGATATTTACAAAGAACTTAAAAAACAAACAACAATAGAAGAAAGGAAAAGATCTATGATCAGGTGGTGTGAATGTTCTGCTTCTGCGTGAGAGCCCAGTAAGCTCCTTTAGCTTGCATCAACTCAGCGTGTGTACCTAAAATTGTGTAAGATTATTCCAATTTTGATACAAAGACTACATAACTTTCTGCTACAAGACTACAGATACAGTTTGCTGCAAGCCTAACCAGGCCAAAATTGGCATGCGGGAATCCGCGTCGTGCGAGTTTCGCGCCACATATGCGGCTAGCTAATCTGCTCTCCTTAATCTCCTCGCTCTCTGCGACAGCGCGCATATGCAGCGCGAACCCTTAGCGCTGCGAGCGCGCGAATTCCGCCGACGGTTTGGCCTGACCCCATTGGGGCAGAGTGTATATCTGTAGTCCTCTAGCACAGTATATTTAAAATGTCCTAAAAACGACTATCATCATAACCTTGCTTACCCTTTTCAGCAATTTTCCCAGACTTCACGACCATAATGCAACTGCAATTAACAACCGTAGATAGTCGATGAGCCACTATGATGCAGGTTCTGCCTTTAGATGCCTTATCCAAAGCTTCTTGGACGAGCTAAAAATTTTTCTTAATGATTTCAAAGATTTAGCAGAACCGAGCCCTTGAGCAGAACTTACCTTTTCACTTTCCGTATCCAAAGCACTTGTAGCTTCGTCAAGCAAAAGAATTCTAGGGCTTCTGATGAGCGCACGAGCAATGGCAATTCGTTGTTTTTGTCCTCCCGAAAGCTGAGTCCCCTTCTCACCGACCCTTGTGTTGTAACCCTAAAAGATTGTTAAGATTAGAAAACAATACTTTTAGATAGCAGAAACAACTGACATCTGGTAGCTCGCTGATAAATTTATGAATATTAGCTTTTTGAGCCACTTCCATAATCATATCTTCAGTCACCGAGTTAGCTGGAAGACCGTACACAATGTTGTCCCTAATGGAAGTATCAAACAGGACTGGCTCTTGTGACACCAGCGCGATGTGAGAGCGCAAGTGGGTCGGATTCATCTGACGAATGTCATTACCGTCCACAGCCTGTAGTGAAAATTAGGTAAAATAGACCTGGAGAACAGCGAATGGCTTACCACCACACCATTTAATGGATCATATAGTCGTTCCAACAAGGATATAACCGTGGATTTTCCGCAGCCACTTGGTCCGACTAAGGCAAGGGTCTCACCAGGTTGTATCTGTGGCAATGAGTGGTTAGTAGTGAAAATGTCAGCCTCAAACTGGTGAGAAGGAATTTTGAGACTTTTCACTTTTCCTTCCTGTGCAAGATACGGCATGATAGAGTACGAAACTTGGAAAGGAACTTCGAAAAATTGTACATGTTAAAGTGGTTCTGTACCCGTTGCAAGCCCATTGCAATAAACTGGTTACGAACCGACATTACAAACTTCGAAGTTCCATTTGCGTATAACGGCTGCAGTCCGCGCAAAATTCATATATCTTGATATAGAGGTTGTCTATAACCTATAGACATATTAGCCATCATAACAGAATTTCCAGGTAAAAATATAGCACATATTGTAACGCTCATACTTCCGGCCACCCTGTGGAATAATTCTGGACGGAAGCGCTGCGGTCTGGTTGGGTAAAGTTTGCAAAAGGTGTTCATTTGGCGCTTTAATAGAGCCATTGCGGTGCAAACGAAGATTCCTCGTGAACAGATGGCCATGAGAAGCAAAACGCGAAAATGTGCACACTACAGCCACTTGGCATGCGCCCATTTTCGGGCAAACGAGCATCTTTATTATAATATACACTGATACTCCCTTAAAGCCGGCAGAGTTCCTCTCCTACTTTGCAGAGTTCACTCATGTCTAAGAGGGGGGAGTAGAAGGATTTTAGAAGAGGGAAGACGAAATATGACGACCGTCCCGTAATGGCAAGGGGAAAGGCCAGCGGTATCATTGGCGAAAGACTGTTATCGGATTTTCCTGCCACTGTGGCTCCCACTGTTCCCTTGTGTGGGGTATGAGGAAATCGCGTCATTGATTGTTTGAAATATTCTATACTGTAATACACATGTAAAATCTCTATTATAATATGCACATGATTCCTAAGCAGAGTTCCTCTTCCTTTCTTTATCCTACGACCTACGTCTGCTTGAGAAGGTTCCATTCGCTGAAAGGTTCCGGAAAAGGCAATGACTACTTTGGGGTGAGTGGATTGACCTTGGGCATATTCCCAAGACTCGATTGAATTATTCATTGGATTCTACGGCAAGAAATTTCATGAAACTTGCTTTTGAGAGCAAGCGTGCAGCGAACATCTCAGTTTTATTAGCGAAAACTGATTCGTAAGCGAGTTCGGTGTCGAGAGAAGGAGTCTCAGCCCGTAGATTAGAACCCTCAATTCAGGGAGTGTATTCTCGCTGTCCTCGTAACCTTTAAGAAAATGCATGAAACCTTGCTTTTGAGAGCAAGATTCCAGAAAAAATTTCATTTGTTCTCGAAAAAACTGAGATCATAGGGAGTTCGGTCTCAAGAAAGTCTTACAACCTACGGTGGAACCTCATTTTAGAGAATATAAGAAGAATGTCCCATCTTTATTGCTTTGTTTAAAACACCGTGGAAAACTCGGCTTTGAAAGCAAATGTGCTGCAAAAATTTGATTTTATACCAGAAACCTGCGCGTACAAGCAGTTATGGTCTTGGAGAAGAGAAAGTAGTACATACAGAGGGATAAAGCTCTATTTACAATGAGAACTCATCCTCGTTTTTAGGACAAATCTTTAAAAAATTTTTAAGAGCAAAAATGCTGCAAAAATCTCATTATTTCGAATGGCCAAGCGTATGAAGAATCCTGTTCTCAGTAATGGAAAGCCTCAGCTCGATCTCAGTGGGAATTCATCTCCGTTTTCCGGATTTCGAGTTTTATCTCGAAAAACGGGCATTAGTATGGTTTTGTGAGAAAGAGTTTTAGCCCATGAGAAGTAGAACTTTATTCTAGGAGATTCGTCCTCGTTCTCAGGACAAACTTGAAATACACAAAAAGGCTTGCTTTTGAGAGCGAGTTTTGCTCGAAAATCTGAGCGTGTAGGGACGGCTTCACGAAAAGAGAATGTCTACGTAAATGCACAGCAGCACCCTGCTAGCGATTTCTATAGCAAAGCAGACTGAGAAAAATCTTTGTTTTTGCTTCAGATTAAGTGCTATATGAAAATCCGCTTGGTAGCAACTTACAGGTGTTAGTCGATCATTCTTGGAATGTAAGCGAGCTCGGAAAAGAGGGAGAAAAAAGAGCGTAGCTTTAGTTCAGATTTTCACAATGTTGGAAGAACTATTTGATGTGTTAAAATGACTGAACGCAATTGAGCAGCACCAGTCCAAATAGGGTGGGTTCCTCAAAACAGCTGTGCTACATTGTGTTCTGAGCGAGTTGGATTGTATAATTCTGCAACAGGCACAGCTAAAGGTGAGAGATTGTAATCCACTGCTATTGTGTTTATTTCTTTCAGCTCGTAAATTTTATTCATTACGATTATTTTCGAGTATGCTGCACAGAAAAGTTGCCGCTGAAATAACCAAGATTTTTGGTGTTTGGTGTATATTTGGTGTATACTTGGTGTTTTAGCTATGCAATTCTCAATGCATTTGCCCCCATCCACTTGCTAGCGACCCTTAGGATCGCTATCGAAAATATGTTCAGGCACAGGCTGATACCCGGCACGCACTTTGAGCTACAGTAGCCTCTAAAAACAGGCGAGCTTCAATCGAGTCTTGGGGATATGCCCAAGGTCAATCCACTCACAGAAATGTCCAATCCTTGAAGAATAGGCACACTTGGCCTTTCTGGGTAGTTGAAGTAAACGTTGTTGAGCGTGATCGATCCAGTGAGTTTCGGTTTTTTGCCCTTATCAGTCATTCCATCAATTCGCGGCTCATCTTTCAGCATGTTAAAAATTAGACCAGCTGCGATTGTTGCCTTAACGTATTCGGGGAAGTAGGCACTGGCAAATCCCATACTTGTAGCGGTGAACGAAATGGCGAAAAGTACACTGAAAATAAGGAGCGACAAGGAACTGTTTCGTAGAAGACACGAAAAAAATTTTTTATTACCGTAGAACATTCATTGGCTGCATATAGCCATTGAGGATGAGCCACAGGCCAAAACGGAACGATGCTGCATATACGAAGAAGAAGGTGCTGCTAGCGAAACCGTATGCAGCACCCTAAAACGCAACCAAGGATTGGATCGATCATGACAAAAATTTCTACTCTACCCAGACCTGCATTACTGCTCTTCTTCTATTTGTCTTGTGTGGTCCATTCAAGTGGCGACAAAACTGATGATGCAAGCGATGTTCCAGTGTTAGAGCTTGCACAGTTCTGATGTTTTCAATGGCTTCCATAGCAATCTGAGCGTTTTCAAATTTTCTTACAACAATTAGACATTGGTTTACCTTTCCACTATTTTCCATTTCTTTCGCATCACTGCCCGCTCGACCAGACATGAACTTTATTTGGAAAGCGTGTGCAACACCAGCTAATGGAAATATAGCGAGAGTCTGGAGGAAAACTTATGATTATGACAGAACTTTCGAAAATAAGCTCTGATCCAGTTTTAAGAAACTTGCGAAACTCTTAGCAAGATCTAGTTTAAAATTAACGGAAACCTTGGGTTGCGGTGCTTCATAAAATGTGAATCCCTGCAAAGAAACAAAATATACTTATTTACCAGAAGAGCCATTTGCCATCCAAAGTAGAATCCGAGGCCGACACCACAGCACACGGACACAAATGAGTTGAAAACATTTCCAAAACGATAGTCGATTGCCTGCGAAAAGGAGACTTGAAGACAGCGTTCGGGCAAAAACTTAATTTTGAGATTTTGTGCTTACAGGGGCCTATTCGCCTGCTGAATCCAAAAATCCACACTGAAACGCGCGAAAACGGCAAAAAGGGCTCTAGCGCAGGAGGGAAACAGCAAGGGGGCGAGGTTTCAAGTCAATTATTAGCACTTGCCCGGCAGCGATGTTAGAACGGTTAGCGGAATCGAGAAGACCGCTCCGGGAGCTGAGAGCGTGAATTTACAGTGGGGAGAACCCCTCCGACCTGCTGATTTCCGTCCTTGCCTTATCCGCCATTTTCCGTTCTCCAGTGTGTATTTTCGGATTCAGCTTAGCGTATAGCATAGAATCTCAAAATCCCGTTTTCGCCCAGACACTGCTTTCAAGTCTACAAAATGGATGGGGCTGCGAAAGTGCCTGGGGAAATGTTTTGGACTGGAGGGAGGGAGGGGGTTAGAGATTGTCAGACTGGCTGGCATAGGCGGCCATGCCCGAAAAAAAATTTATAGAGCTATTCGCTCTACAAAAACTCAAAGGCAGCGTCCCGTCAAGAGGGGTGCTGGTCTTTGTAGCGGTGTTATAGATAGACCACCTGCTCAAGCGATGACCGAATTTCGAAGCGAAAAAAAGGAGTCTACTAAGCCTGAAATTTGCCTCTGTAGTGGCCCGGATATTACGATAGCCCGGACGCCGCCCACTCAGCAATTTTGAACTGCAACGCCTGAGTGCGTGTAGCGCACACAGTCATGACAGCTGGGTCCCATAGCGCCGCTGCGTCTCCAACCTTGGCAGGCTTCGCGTCCTCACGTCCTACGTTCTCATTCAAACCCTCAGGAAAAGCCAATTTTCAACATTTTCACACTTTGCAAGTTGCACGACGGATAAGCGGGACGGATAAGCTCAGGTAAGCGAAATTTCTACATTCAGGGTTTTGGTGAGACGCTGCCTTTGATAGTCGAGATTATACTTGGGTAATTCGAGAATTTTTCATCGAATGAATGAATATCGAATATATTCGAACATTGGAAGTCGAATTTCGAATAAATATTCGAATGATTTATCGAATAACTAAAGCAATCACATCTCAAACTTGCCGACATATCTGGCTAGAGCCGATCCAATCATAATCAGCCCCCTAGTATCCCCTATCAACTCCTTTTCCAAAAATTGCTGAAATCAATAAAATAGATTTCGGTTTTAATCAGCATCCTCATTTACCCCCTGTACCAACTCCCAAGCTCGTAGCTCGAGATTTTCCAAAAATCGATAAAATTTATAAAGTAAATTTATCCATAATCAGCACCCTCACTTACCCACTTGTACTAACTCTCAGCCCCGCAGCTCAAACTTCCCCAAAAATCGATAAAGTCGGTCGGTCGCCTAGTCTATACATCAGCAAAAAGTCAGATTTTACCCATTATGGACGATCTAAAAAGCAGTCGATATAAATTTTAATGCTGTGCCCAAAAGATTCTTCTTCAGATGACCTGAAAGAGACTGATGTACACCAGAATTAACTTTATTTCTTATCAGCATCAACAATGTAAAAGCAAAGGGCTTGCTCTACTTTCTATATCAATTAAAATCCACATATGATTTTTTTACTGTCGCAAGCAGTCGGAAGAATGCGACTCTCCATACAGTTCAAAGGTATAACGGTTGCAAAAGATGCATTACCGAGTTTTGCGAAAAAAAACGCGGACGAAGTGAGCTTGATACTCAGCAGTTGGCTCTACAACAAAGTCGAATAATCTGAATACGGAGTCATTCGAATACGAATTCGAATAGACATTCGAATAAAACATTCGAATAAAATCTATTCGAAACCCCGTTTCTTGATTATTCGAGTTTTCGAATAAGATTCGAAACCTCGTTTCTTGATTATTCGAGTTTTCGAATAATATTCGAAACCTCGTTTTTTGATTATTCGAGTTTTCGAATTTTATTCGAAACCCTACTTTGATTATTCGAGCTTCGAATATTATTCGAAAATGGAAGAACTCCGAATATCGAATTTCGAATACGAATATATTCGAATGTTTTATTCGAATGATCGAATTTCTATTCGATTCGGACCCAAGTATAGTCGAGATATTTACAAGTAAAAGGCATTTTCAAATACTATAGCTCATGTCCCGGGAACCAACTTAATATAGGTAGGAAAACGAAAAAACTTACAGACTTTACATTTGGTGCATCAGTAGCGAGACGAGTAGTGATTTTCCCTGGTGTATGTCGGGGCATGTCGAAAAAGGTAGCGTCCATGCGCATTACATTACGGAATACTTTGGATCGTAAGCGCATTGTTAATTTTTCAGCTGATAATCCAAAGAAGAAACACTGAAAAGCGAATCTTTGGTTGCAAAACAATTGCCATCGAAAGCCTGATGTTCGTGCCTGAGTGATCATACAGACTGCTTCTACTCCGCCTAAGAGAAGAAACATTAATGCCCAGAAATGACCTTTTGACTGGAGAGACGGATCGCCAGGTGGTATGGCGAAAACCTAGATAAATGGAATTGGATCACGAAATTGTGTACGGTTATAAGGCAGTTTACCTCGATGATTTCCGTGAAAAAGAGGGAGAATGCTGGAAAAACGCAGCCTCGTGTTATAGAAGAAAAGACGGCAAGCAGAAGAAAAGCCCACTCGGGACGAGCGTAGTGAAGAATTTTGACTAAATTTGCTTTTACTGCTCCTTCCTCTTCGAGCTCTGAAATGATCGCTAATCAAGAGACTGTAAATTCTAAGAAAGTTACCTTTTTTCAGCCTTTCCAAATCGTTTTCTGCTTTTTTGACATCGCTTTGTTCAACTTTTTCGAATTTTTGCGAAAGCTGGGATTTCAAGCGCTTAAAATTATTTGTCATTTGTGTGAGAAAATGTTGATCGCAAATGATTTTACACTACGGAAAAGAGATCGAAGCAAATAATTCAGTTTCACCCGTTCTTCACGCAAAAACTTCTTATTTTTGCTTATTCAGTCAAGCATGATATAAACAGATAAATACCATATTTAAACGAAGAGCTAGTAGCATTTGAAGAGGTAAAGAAATTTCATCAGGGAGAGAGGAAAAGTAGCTTTTTCCGTTCTTTTGGGAAGCAAATTTTATAGAGAAAAGAAAAGATTTCTATAAAGATAAGCTTTTCGCGATTCTGTTGAATTCAGTAAAAAATCAATGACTGTGTACTAGGCTATTCCAAAAGTTGTTCCTGGTTTTTGGTTGCCTTGTGATGTAAGCAACTATTGTCTAAGAATTTTGTGCTTATTGTATCATGGACATTGCTGCTGAAATTATCGACAGACACAAAATTTTTTGCAATAGCAACAAATTGCACATAGAAGAAGTTAATAACATTCCTCTCATATATGCAGTTCCAAAACTACACAAAACACCTGTTAAATTCAGATTTATAACTGGTGCTACACACAGCAGTATAAACCATTAGCTATAGAATTGAAAATGATTTTCACATTCATTAAGAATCATTTCAAAAAATACTTGCAAGCCATAAAAAATAGAAATCACCATTTCAATGGATACTGGGCTATAAATAACATCGACATCAGCAAAAATCTAACAAATATCAACATGAAAAATATGAAGATTTTCTCAGCTGATTTTACAAATATGTTTACAAGCCTACCACACGACATTATAAAATCCAACATAAAAGAACTTTTAAAATTATGTTTCAACAATGCAAATGAAAAATACATTATAATTAATGGAAACAATAACGTTAATTACAGCAGCGATACGACACATCTAAATACCAAAACCAAATTTTACACTTTAGTGGATCTACTATATTTAGTAGACTAAAGTGCGGTTCATAATTATACGAACACCCTAAATTTTTAAAGTTTTTGGACTTCCTGGAAGAAACTCAAAAAGCCGTTGGTACCACGCGATAGAGCACAGCCGAAAACGGTATACGGTCCACAAGAATGGAAATAGATGTCAATCTTAGGAAGTGTTTTTGCGCCTAATGCGAATTTTTAGCGGTTCATAATTATACGAACACCTCAAACAAAGGTCCATTTTTCATTCAAGATTGCAATCTTTCGAATCTAAATTTTTTGTAGAGTTACAGCAACAAAGTCTGACATATCTGCTATACACTGCACCCAGTGCAACTCAAAAAGAGGATCGTTAATTTTTTCAGATGGCTCTAAATGCTTTTGGAGTGATTGCGCTCCAAAAACATACGTTTTTCTGTGGTTTACGCACCCTAATTAGCTTGTACCAAGGCTTTGAGATAAAATAAGCTCTTTCGATAGATATTTTGTTTAACGCTTGGAAAATCTATACGTTTTCGTGCCGTTTTTCAACCAAGTTCCAACCTTACCCCAGAGTTAGCACGATTTCGAGCCTCAAAACTCAGCTTCTCTCTCGCGCAAACATTTGATATGAAGCAGCTGCATTCCTTGCATGATGATGTATCCATGCCAACATTTTTGCGTTTTTTGTAGAACTGATCTTGAAGCTATGGAGCAAAAAACCAAATAAAGTTGTGATTGCAATAGTAAAAACAGTGGTTTTGGTGAAATGACGTCTGCGTGGCCAAAACAAGCGCTCAACGCTGCTGATTTCTTTCTAGCCAAATACATAGTCTTGTGAACTTCTACATACCATCTGCTTACTTCATTGTAGGGCTTCCGAAGCTGAGTTTTGAGGCTCGAAATCGTGCTGACTCTAGGGTAAGGTTGGAACTTGGTTGAAAAACAGTACGAAAACGCATAGATTTTCCAAGCGTTAAACAAAATATCTATCGAAAGAGCTTATTTTATCTGAAAGCCTTGGTACAAGCTGATTAGAGTGCGTAAACCACAGAAGAACGGATGTTTTTGGAGCGCAATCGCTCCAAAAGCATTTAGAGCCTTCTGAAAAAGGGTAACGGTCCTATTATTAAACTGCACTGGGTGCAGTGTGTAGCAGATATGTCAGACTTTGTTACTGCAACTCTACAAAAAGTTTGGATTCGAAAGATTGCAATCTTGAATGAAAAATGGACCTTTGTTTGAGGTGTTCGTATAATTATGAACCGCTAAAAATTCGCATTAGGCGCAAAAACACTCCTAAGATTGACATCTATTTCCATTCTTGTAGACCGTATACCGTTTTCGGCTGTGCTCTATCGCGTGGTACCAACGGCTTTTTGAGTTTCTTCCAAAAAGTCTAAAAACTTTCAAAATTTGGGGTGTTCGTATAATTATGAACCGCACTTTATATTCTAGATAATAGTTTCTGTCGCTTTAGCATTTATACCTTGAAACAAAAAGTTGGAGTTCCTCAAGGTGGTAACTTTAGCCCATTATTAGCAGATCTTACACTTTCTTGGTACGAATATAAGTATTCCATTGAAAATGTCAAAATTCCCAAATAATACCATTTAGATATATGGATGATCTATTACTTATTCATAACATGGAGGAAAATACTATTCATAAGTTGGTCGAAAAGATTTACGACTATAAACTCCAAATAAAAGCTACACACTTGAATACCCAAAGCTGTAACTATCTCGATTTGAATATTGAAATAATAAACAATAAATTAGTTACAAAATTATATAATAAAACTGATTACTTTGAAATTGAAGTTGAAAGATTCATACATGCTACATCTAGTATCTCATTCAATATTAAAAAGGCAACCATATATACAGAAACTCTTAGAATAGCAAGAACATGCACATACTTAAACGATTTTCTGCAAAAAATTTCACAACTTAGAGATATACTCCTTAAAAATGAATATGACCTCAATACAATATCATCCTCGATTTTCAAATGCCTAAATAGAAATAGATTCATATTATATAAATATAATATATTCGATGACAAATTCATGAAATTTTCAAAGCAAAAATATAATAATAAACTATAAAATATGAACAAACTATAATCAACCGATATATATGAAACGAAGTATAAATGATATATTGAACACAAATGATAACACAATAGGAATGAACAAGTCAGAACAAGTCCATTCTTACTTTGCAACACAGAGGATCATACGACACAAAGAAGAACTGGACGGCAACTGGAGTATAAAAGTTGAGTTTTACACTTTTTTGAAAAAAATTTTCTCAAAATTAAGCTAGACCCTTTCTCCTTACTGAAGAGTCCCGGAAAGGGTCTAGATCTCAAAACTCCGTCTAAGGAAAGGGACGAAACGGAGACAAACACATATAAAATTGTTTTTTCTTTATATCGTTTGGAAGATCTCTTCTTGCCCTTTCGAAGCTTACCAAATCTTTATGAAATATTTCCTTGGTTATAGACAAGCCCTAAAGCACATTTGTCGAAATGCAATCATGTTCAAGAAAAATGCTGTCCTCGAGAACATTTAGGTACACTGCAGTAGGTAAGAGTGAAACGGTTACATCTGCACATTTTCCTTCCACATAGAAGTGAGCCTACTTCTAGGTTTGTCTTCAAGAACTTATTGATCTCCTGAATATTTTTGACGACAACCTTCGCTTAGCGACAGGTAATACACTTAAATGTGATTCTTTTGACTCATTGCCAGACCAAGTTTGATAGCAACTTTATTTGGCTAACGTTTCAGCTTTGCCTTCGTCAGAGCTTGAAAGTGAGGAACACATCCTTCCCAAATGCTCTAACACTGCAAATTACAATAAGCTGGACAAAAACAATGCCGGAACAGAACAGCTTACCTTTATAAACGTTACAAGGAGACCGATACCCAACGCTGTTACGCAACGGATGGAATTAAGAGCCTTGGGTCATGTGGATATTGGTTAGAAACCGACACAGCTTCAGAAATGTCGCGAGTTCGTTTGGGGAATATGCATTCCTCTTCTCTGATAATCACGGTTTGACCTGCAGTGATAGAGCGTCGAGACAAATCTCATGTGTCCCTCACTTGAAGACTTTAACGAAGCAAACAAGTCGAAACGTCAACCAAATAAAGATGTTATCAATTTTAGTCTGGCTGAAGCGTCAAAAGAATTATCTTAAACATTTCATGATTATAGAAAGTCGATTATAGAATATCACATAATCAATACTGTGTGTGTAAAGTAAAGCAAGTAAAATCAGTACATCACTTAGTTAGCTTTCTTTGTCAGCGATAAGTGAACCATTAGAAGTCGGCGTACTTGCACACGAGAAGGCTTAAATAGTGGCATTACAGGCTACTTAGTAATGTAAACTATGTCTGCCTATCTTCATTTGAGAGCATAACAGTGAAATAGACAAAATTAAAAGAAACTCATAACATCTTTCACATTTTCGCTTCTCACTTGTTTGCCTGTTTCATACGCCATGTGCCACTATGATAGAAAAAAAGCTCGCTTATTATCCTTCGAATTTGCTCAAAAATATTGATTCCGAAGTCAACTATAACATGTTAAATTGAGATTCTGCAAATCGAACAGAAGTTTTGGAACAATTAGTATAAGGAAGTATTTGTCTGATGTACATATACATTTCAATCACTGAGCTTGAAAGTGAATAAAATAAATGTGGTTATGCATAATTATGAAGATTACCTTTAGCTCAAGACGTCCGATAGATGATGTACTTGATCGTCGCGAAGAAATAGATCTGGTTCTCAATTTCTCTTCAGCCAATTCTGCAGAATTTGATACTTTTTCAAAAGAATTTGTAGTTTACTGTAGAAGTTTGCCAAATAGATTTTGAGAAATTTTCTCAAAAACGTGAAGATTTCATGAGCTCACCATCATCTACATCAGCGAAGACTTGAGCATTCACTAGTTCATGGTAGAGACCTTTACGAGCAATCAGTTCATCATGAGTGCCAACTTCGATGACCTGAATGAGTAAAAACAGGGTTGCATATAACAACCGAGCAAATTTTATTATTTCATTACTTCTCCATCTTTAATGGCAATAATTCTATCAGCATTACGAATGGTGGAAAGCCGGTGAGCAATTACGACTGTGGTGCGACCTTTGGAGGCCTGAAAACACTGAACTGTGCTGTTGTTTCGCTATTTCGGCAAGCTTGCTTCATCGCATTACAGAAGGTTTTTTGAGAGTGTTTTGTCAGATGTGTTACATGTTTTGACAAGCCTAAACTGTTAGAACCTTTTATTGCCTTACATTTGGACACATTTTATCTTCTTCTTTGGCTGAGTTCAAACTGATCCTTGTGTTCCGGAACAGTTTCAGCACGGCGCACAATTTAAGCGCTATGGTGGTACTGTTCCAGAACACAAGGAACAGTATGAACAGCCTCAGAGGTCTGAAAGAAAATTGCAGTCTTTATCTATGAGTCTGCGCCATCAAGCGTCATTCCCGTACTCATCGAGTCCAGACGTTGTCCTTGCACGGCCTAGGGAAATGCATATCGAATAAGAAACCGACCTTAGATCCACCGCGATATTGGTGTTAGTAGTCCGCACCGCCGTAGTGGACGGTAGGTAAGGGCACTGCTCTATGATAGGAAGGGAGTTCAACGAGTGTCGCTAAAGTTGGGATTGAGTCAGCGGACAAACTTTCGATTTACCAAAGATATCCCGCACGATGGGGATGGCGAATAGATGTGCGATTTGTAGCCATACTACACGCAACGATAAACAAAATCCCACTTTGCTATCTCTATCTCCGAGCGGATTTAAGACAGTGCATTGTCCGAGCACAACTGCAGAATGATGTTGTGCTGGTGAGTACCCCTAAAAATATTCTCAGGAAACAATTAGGCGTGCGCTGTACTTCTCGGCGCAGCGGCGGTCCCAGGATCTTGGACCGGGAGGGAGGGGGGCGACAAAAATTTTTTTCAAATGAAGGTGCGTGGCGTCAGCCACGCCCTATGAAAAATTTTGGGGTGCTTTTCAAAATTTTTGCAGGTTCATACCCTAAATTCTTGAAAAGGGGCGTGGCTGCCGCCACGCCCCCTAAAAAATTTTTTACAAGGCTAATTTGATTAGGAAATTTTAAAAATTATTTTAACTGTTTACAGAAATAAACAAGTCACTTGCACATTTTTAAAACCCATGTAAGTAAGGTCCAAAAATCTGCGATCCATTCTCGGGAGGGAGGGGAAGGGGCGCATTGTTTGCCCACACGGAACAGTAGGAGATTGCGCAAAATGAGAAGTTGTATATCAGCTAAAGTGTTCAAACTTTAGAGCTTTATGTATAGGCGAGACAAGCGGAGCGTTGCGCACAAGGGTCAGAGAGCATCTAACCTATAAGAGACGAGAGAGTATCACCGTTAGAAAAGCATAATTTGAAAGCACACAATGGCGCAGAATTTGTTGTCAAACTTGTAATTTTTGCACACGAGACTGATTCTGCAAGAAAAGCCCTGAAAGCCTTGTGGATTCCATCAAGTGCCCGAACATTAACAACAAGAATGACTGCTTGACAATAACTGATGATCTTTTGACCTCTATCATTATGTAAGCAGTAGCTCTAGCCATTAAAGATTTGCCATGCAAGTGACATTTAGTGCTGTTTACTACATCTGTGTGCGGCTACCGACCGCCATTTCGGTGCGAACTACTAACATCATTATCACGGTGGATCAACAATTGATTTCTTTTCCGACGCGTCTTAGCGCGTTGTGGTGCACGGGACAACGTCTAGATTTGATGAGGACGAGATTGACATTTAGCTTAGTCTCGCAGATCATGCTGCAATCTTCTTTCAGTTTTTCTAAAAAGACAAAGCGTGTTTAAACGTAAGGCAATAAAAGATTCGCCGTACCAAATTAGGCTCGGCAAAACATTCAACAAATCAGGCTTGAAGACCAATGCCCGGATTCAAAGAAGAGAAGACTAGAACAACTTCTTGCCAGAATTCTACCGAAGTGATATACAGGATGTCCCAAACGTATGTATACACTGTTTGATCATCAATATCCCTTTTCCCAAGAAGTATTTTACCCACCTTCAGGCGCAATTTTGTTAAGCTAGCTTCAACTTAGCCTTACAGTATGGGGCGTATCACCGATCACTCTTCACTAATGTAAGATTACGGTAGGAACTTTCAGCTCAGCGTCGTTGCAAATAACCCTGTTTCAAAGAAAATGTTTTCAAAAATTTGAAAAGTGGTGTACTAGGGTTTTTACAGATGATTCGATTATTCAACTTTTTACGAGTTTGCAAGGCTTTTTAAATGATGAAATCATGGAAATGATGAAATCATCGATTTCATGGAGTATTGTAAAAACAAATATTGCGGTTCACCTAGTATAACATATGAAGGAACCAGTGCGGTAAAGGAACATCATATTCAGTTTTAGCGGCTTGAGTGGACCTAGTATAAAAGCTTTCTGGTGTTTGGTTTGCTTCCTGAGGCGGAATAGGGCCCCTAATAGCTCACAAGAATTCCTGAAGTTTCTACTGTAATCTTACAGTAATGAAGAGCGATCGGTGATTCGCTCCATACTGTAATTCTAAGTTCAAGCTAGCTCTACAAAATGATGCCTGGAGGTAAGCAAAAGATTTCTTGGAAAAAGAGATATTAATGATCAAACAGTGTACATACTTTAGGGACGCCCTGTAGAAAAAATTTAAAGTGTTGATTGGCCGTTTTACTTTTTAATGTGAGGACTTTTCCAGAGTTTTGATGAATCTCTTGTACTACTCACGTTTTCTAAAGCCTGCTGCACAAGATGTTCGCTTTCAGCGTCCAATGCACTAGTGGCTTCATCGAGAAGAAGAATTTTGGGGTCTCGAACAAGTGCACGAGCTATGGCGATGCGTTGTTTTTGTCCACCAGACATCTGTGTGCCGCGATCTCCAACATTCGTCTTGATTCCCTTCAACGTAGTAGACAAAAATACACAAAATCTGAAAAAAATCCAGAGCTTACATCGGGGAAGCTCTGCACAAAATCATATGCGTTTGCTTTGCGAAGGGCTGCAGTTATTTCGGCTTCGGTGATGTCCTCACGTCCGTAGCGGATGTTCTGAATGCAAATCATTCATAGGGCTAGAATACGAATTCCGCCATAAAAGCAAAATTCCGAAAGCCTTCCCCCCCCCCAAAACAAAAGACAAAAATCCCCCACCTGCTCTATTGTAGTGTTAAAAAGCACAGGCTCTTGCGATACAACAGCTATATAATTTCTAAGAAACCCAATATTGATCTTATCGATTTCAATACCATCTATTAAAATCTGTAAATTTAATGTGGAGAATATGACTGTTTGAGAAGACCCAACCTTGCCATCAGCTGGATCGTAATATCGAAGCAACAATTGGACTACCGTACTCTTGCCACAACCACTGGAACCGACTAGAGCGATGGTTTCACCTGGATTTGCTTCGAAAGAAACGCCCTTAATTGTCGTCAAATTGAATTTGACTTTGCCACAATGATCTATAATAGATTATTATAAAAGGCCCTCCAAAAAACTCAAGATTACTAGCTTTTACTTCCCTGTCATATAAAATATGGCAATTTTTTTACAACCCGCAGGAAACTACCCTATTTTCAGATGTATAAGCAGCAGGGAGGTCCTAGCTTACATCGACCAGCCCGAACACATCAAAGGACCTCGCAACCAAAGGACCCTACACCGTGCTGCGTATTGCCTGAAAGAATCGTGCGGCATAAGGATCGCTTCTCGAAACACAATGAAGCGGCTGAGCAGCTCGTGGGAAAATTTGAAAAAGTGCGGCTTATACACCTGAAAATAGGGTATTGGTCAAAAAACATTTTTTAAGGTCGGATTGTTACTATATGGAAATACCTAGAAGCTGGCGAGGGAGAGGGGACCAGGAGGAAGACAGGGGGAGTGAAAGGACAGTCCATCAAATCACAAAATATGCTAGATGAATTTTTTACATTATACGAATACGGTATGCCAAACACCAAGGAAGAACACAAAAAATGCAACATCTTACTATGGCTCACTTTAAGAACTGGCACATCAGGCCTAGTTGGATAGCTAAACTTCAAATTCGAGACGGAAACCCTTCCTTGAAGATTTGATGGTTTCATGCCAGCAGTCGAATATGCATCAATTTCTGGCTCCTGCAAAAAAATATTTCTGCAATTAGCGTGTGAACGCTCCTTGCCTTACTCTGTCGATAATTTGATATAGAGATCCGGCGGCTCCCATGGCTGTACCGAGAACTGCAAATTGTGGCCCTGCTTGGCCGAGTGCCATGGAACCCATCATGACAGAGAAGAACACCTACTACTATATTATCCGGAGATGCAGTGGAGGGAGAACCGAGGTTTGGAGGAAGAAATTTTGGAAAACATCTACTAAGCGAAAAGATGTGCAAGTGAAATATTTTCATTAGTAAATATTCGAGCAAATTCCTGGTATTATGGAAATCGAAAATACTTTTCTAGGGCTATGGCTCGATGAAAATTTGCGAATCTCCTCATAATTTAAAAGAGCATTTTAGCGACCATTGATCTAGAGGAAATCTTTGTCGCGTCAGCCTCCCCTTGAAATTCAGCATATCGCCACTAACATCTGAAACTCTTCAGTTTATTTTCATTTTTCGGGAAGCAACATCATGGGATTTTTTAAACGATTAGCTTGACTAGCTTATTGCGTAAGTCCTACACCAAAATGCGAACAAATTTAATTCAAATTTATTTTCGATTAGCGTACAGTGAATATTTTGCTGTGCCATCACATTCGTCTTCCGATGGATCTATTAGAGGCAAGATTGAGAGAGTTTCGAAAACGCAATTTTTGTGAAAAATCAGCATCAGCTTATATTATCTTTTTGCTCGACATGAACATATGTAAATTGTATCATAAGCGGGCCTTCAAATGCTTTGACGCTTCTTGCAATCACTCAGACAGTGTGACCGTTGTTCTTTGACAGCTTATAAATATGGGAGTGCTTGAACCATTGTATATTTGTTCATCCAAACTAGGGAATAATTCAACACTTAGATTTTTCTGTGTTTTTGAAATCAAAGGAAAAACTGACTATCATAACGGTTCCTCCTTTCATCTCGCCTTTGAACACAAAATCGGTCCCAACCCAAAAGGCCAAACAGTATGTTGCAAACATGATAGTGAAGGTTGAAGCAAGACCGAGACCAACGTATAATGACTTCTTTATGCCGGTTGATCTGCCAGCCGCCAAAGCTACATCGTATCTAAAACACAAACGACAATTATTCGTAAGACTACGGTGAGTGATAATGGCACCTTTTGCACTCGTAGGATTGGCCATTGAAAGCAATGACCGTCCTGATTGAAGTGAGCACTTCTTCTGCGATTCCACCAGCAACAGCATAATTTTTCGCTTCCTCCGTGGCAGCTGACGCCATCAGCTGTCGAATATAAAGTCAACCCAACTTTACAATTAAAACGAAGATTTAAAACCTTCGCGATGAAAGCTCCGCAAACGATCATAAATGGCGAAAGCGACATCATGATAAGTGTCAATTTCCAATCATAGGTGAACGCAACGATAAATCCTCCAAAGAATTGTGCAACGAACTGTATCATCAGGCCGAGTTTGTCTCCTGTCCCTTCTTTCACTCTCTCGAGGTTACTAGATCAACCAGGGATAGATAACGTGTGTTATATCATGCGGAAAGAGCGTACTCGAAGAGTTTCGGTGTCAGATTTCCGGAGTTGTTTTTGTCATACCAAGCGATATCCTGTCGTAAAATCGCTTTGAAGAATTCTCTTCGCAACTGATTTACTAGATTTTCGCATACAGTCGCGAAACATGTTGCCTGAAAGTACTTCCCCATAAGAAAGTCTTCCCAATCACTTCAAAGTCTAGAAAAATGCTAACGATTTTTTCGAATGTTTGAGAAATATCGCGGCCTATAGTGCAAACCCGATTTAGACAGCAGGAAGCGTGTTACTGTCAACGGGCGCTACTCTTTTCACAACCGAGCCCCTCCTCGCTGAGCGCATTGCCAAGTTGACTGTATTTTTAATATATCTTTTCATTTCTCAAGTATTTGATGATGATTATGCTTGGCAGTTCAGCTAGTCAACCTCAGCGCAGGATGTCTTTTATTAGCAGTTGGGTGTTGAAATTGGGGTCATTGTGATTACGCCGCGCAGTAGTGCGAAGAAAGCTGGTTGTTTGACACAGGAATTCTTACCTGGAGCGGAGAGAATTGTACTGTTTCGCAAACCTGCTTGGTTATTCTCGTATCCATGGACCCGTAGGAAACCCCGAAATATGTCGTAATGTAAAGATAGCCAGTTCATGACGTGTCCAAGTACATGCTGCTCTTGACCATGCCTTGGCCGCACCAGGACTTGCGCGCTTGCGCGATTGAATCCTTCGGTGATCGCCTTCGGCTCACAGTACCATTGCGTTATTAAATAGAAAAATTAAACTTGAAGCTAGCGAAGCAGAGGACAGAACAATTGCTTGCGACATCTTCCGAGTAAATTGATAAGCAAGTTTTAATGTGTGTTAGCCTCTATGAATGTAATGAATCTATGTGCTGCCTCTACCATATTCTCAGTCAAGAAGCAAAGTGCAGGTACCGCTACAAGCGGTGCGCATCGCGCAGTGCCAGTGGACGCCACTGAGCTAATGGACGATGCGTGGGTGGCCTATAGCCAGCTTAGGCATCGATTAAGTCGATTAAATTTGAACCTTATTCAAAATTACATATAAAACAACTAAATCGGATTTTAACAAATAAATATAATTATAGTATAAGAAATCTGTATCCATACAATGCATTATCTATTTCCAAGAAATGAAAGATTACCTGTATCGTTGCCGCTGCAAATACACCGCATCCCAAATAAATAAATTTCCAACAATTCTGGATGATATCGTGTTCGAATTGATGGATTGCAGCAGGATCTAGATAGAATCATACTTCAACATTAATCCCACTGAGAAGTTGTATACTGGTAGTTCCCACCAGTGTAGTTTGCAGTAACGTCCATGAAGTTTTGGGACACATAACCCTGAGAAAGTTCATGATATGCGCATTCATTTCAGGACATATAAAAAGAAATTTCTGGGCCAACCATAAAAATTGACATTAGGGGCATGCCAACACCCGTTATGACACTGACAAGGCAGCCAAGAAACAGAAGTAGTTTGTCGAAAGCCGAAGCATAACGAAACTGGAATACGAAAATAAAAGTTATCGTACGACGAAGGCGCAGAAGCACTATTAGTTGAGCGGACACAAACGCGACGCGCACACATCTTCACCGTTGTCCTGTGCCTCATGCGCTCTGCGGCTAATAAAGCCGCGTTCGCAGCCAAAGATATTGCGTCTTTATCATGCAGCAGCTTATAGATTATTGCATTTTACACAAATGAGATTTGAATACTGCAGTAGCATTGGTCCTACGTGCAAGAGACTACTGACGTAAATAGAAGTGCAGGTAAAATATTGTGGGTATGAAGAAAGAAAGTTTAATGAAAAGAGTGATAAGTGTTTGCAGTAACTACGCACGACAATGAGGAAAGACATGGAAGGAATCCTTCGACTAAAGAGAAGGAAATCTGCATTGGAAACCCACAAGCTTTGTACCTCAGCATAAAGATGGCCAAAGGATGAAATATAGAGCTTGTCGCACTCTGCACGTTTTGTAGGTTCGACCATAGAGTTCATCGCCTTTTGTCGATTTTGTCGCTTCTTACAAGAAGTGATAGCAAAGGATTATCGAGACAAAAAAGATCTTCAAAGGCACGAAAGCAGTATGGTCGGTTAACTCGAACTTCACCCCCCCCCCCTAAATCAACTTTGAACTGGTCTATCATGTCGTTTGCAACTTTTCTTTTGAGAAGGGAGATGTTCATCTCCAAAACGATTTTTGGGAAAGGGATTTGGCAATAATAGTATGCAAACTTGAGCAAAAAATGACGCAGTTTGACTTACGTTAAAAGCTTAGCTCTCAATAAAAGCTGCATTTAATGGGTTGCAACTAACTTATAAATTATCTTCCATACGTAACACGGACTAGATTGACCTCTTGGAAATTCCTCCTAAACACTTCCAAATTCTAAGAAAGAAAAATTGTGGGGTAAACAGGTGACAAGATCGACCACACAAAAAATTTTGTAGAGTTGCGTAAACCGACAATGTTACTCTTCGAGCGGGTTATTGGCAATCAGTTTTTAATTCAAAAAATGATGTGTATTTATGAACATTGAGCAGTTTCCATGCCTCCTTCCTATGTCCCTTTCCTCCTACAGGTCAAATTTGAAGACATATTGTTGGATACAATAGAAAACAAAAAAACCAGCAATTGATGCTTTGCAAAAAGCTAAAAATTATGACTGTAAACAGATGACAGATCGTGAAAATTAGTCTTATTGAATCTTGCACCAACTAACCTTCTACAACATCAGTTACTAGCTGGCTTACCCGGCTCCGCCCGGCCCTGTCAAAACACTATAATAAAAGAAGCCATCCCTATCCCCTTACAAACTTTCCCTGTGCGCCAGGGGCAGACGGCCATGTGAATCTTAAGCAAGCGGGCACCGGAAAAATAGTTCGTTGATTTCTTGCGGTCCGCTCGCAGAAATTTGGAATAATTTTGGCCAGTTTTTAGAAGAGCGCTAGGAGAACTATTGGGGTACCTTCTTCCAGCGGAAGGTCACCTACGGGCTGCGCCCCTCTACAGAGGACCGTGCGGCTCCCAATAATTTTGCGTATTCTCGCCAAAAGTCCGCGAGAATGCGGCCACTGGTCCGCAACTTATCCATAGAAAGACCAGTGGCCGCATTCTCGCGGACTTTTGCCGAGAATACGCAAAATTATTGGGAGGCGCACGGTCCTTTGTAGGGGGGCGCAGCTTGTAGGTGACCTTCCGCTGGAAGAAGATACCCCAAACTCGGTAATTACACCATCGATGGCATCTCTGCCACATAGAGTCTCACCTTTGCTCGGCGTATGCACGAAACTGCGTTAGAAAGAATCCGAGCGCTTGCTGAAAGTTTGGCTAGCGCTTGCTGAAAGAAATTATTTGCCGAGCGCTTGCAGAAAATGCTGTATTGCTGCCCGCTAGCAGGATATGCGACCGTAAAGGAAGTGCCACTGAACGTTTGGCCACACCCCAAAATTCTGCTGACCACCGGCAGAAAAGCGTTTGCGGGCCGCCTGCTTCCGGCGATTATCTGGGTACATGTCAATTCCCTATTCCCGCCGTGTTAATAATTAGCGTGCTCATTTACCCCTCCCCCCTGTAACTCAAAATTTGCAGAAAATCTATATCTATAAAAGCAATCTGCAAATCCAAAAACTATTATTGTATTCGTAATCAGCATGCTCGATTACCGCCGAATCCCAGCCCTGTAGCTAAACCTTAAATAGATTGATAAGACCCATGAAAGCAAAGGATAATTTCAAAAACTGATATTATATCCGTAATCAGCGTGACGTACCTCCCTATGCCAACTCCCAGCCCTGTAACTCAGAATTTGCAAATCGGTAACAATTGATAAAATCGGTATCGGTCGATAACAAAACGTAGCCTACGACACGCTCCCTGCCCCGAAGTGTATGTATGCCTAGTTTGGTACATATCGGCTCAGAAATGAAAATTTTTAATCCGCACATACGTACACACAGACAGTCATATAGACAGACAGACAAACATACATTCAGCTTTATATATAAGATTTTTGAAGTGCATCAATTTGAAACGATCAAATCACAATGTTTATTATGATTCTGAGAATGTTAATTGTTCTGGAGTGCCCATTGAAATTCAGCATTTATGTATTTATTAGAACAGCACATAACAAGTTTTACATGAATTTCTGCTGCAGTTCAATTTGTATGTATGAGGAGCCTGATATTATGTATTTTTATGAGACGTTATGGAGATGAGTGCAGTCAACACAAATGTCAGTGCTGTTATGTCACGTGTTAGGTCGTTTCAGAAGTTAGTAAGTTTTCATAAACTAAGGAAATGACAGAATTCTGTCAAAAATCAGTCGATAATGTAATCTCCGCTGCTGCACGCAACCTCCTGCCCCTCGTCTTCAGATCTAACTTCGTTTTTCCAACCCCGCAGCTTTGGTCCCAAAATGTCATCTAACCAGCGCCTGAGATCGTCTGCAATTCTTTAACAATCTCATCCTTTTTCCTCATATGACGTGAAAGCGCCATCACTCATAATCGGCGAAAAAAATCTACGCAAAAACATTTTTTTCGCAAGGAAAATTAGCGAATGTCGAAAATGCTTATTTTTGTCTTTTGAAAATTCCACATTTGTAAGCCGAGAAGTCGAAGTAGTTCAGCTTTGCACCAAAACCAATGGGTCAATTCTAAAAAGCATGATCAGCTCTTTTCAACGATACGCAAAAGAACCGCGTTTCAAAGAAACGAGGACGAGAATGAAAACGCTACGAACTTATGGAACGACCTAATAGTTATTTGTTAATTCCAAGTCTTGCACCTTTTTTCCAAAATTCTTATGATTTTTCTTGAAAAAATACAAACAGAAGAGCCTTCTAGTCAAAAATCATCTTAAGCATATAACACAGAACCAAGATGACAAAAAATAAGTACAATCAATCGCTTTCTTAGATCGCTGCTACAGTGCTGGCCAAAAGGTTGCAGCCACTCCTGAATTTTGCTATATCTTACTCTGTTTTTCATGAGACGATTTCAAATTTTGATATTACGTGCAATATCACCCTGCCCAATACTATGTCAAAAAAATCTTGCAGCTTCATGCGCAAGAAGGGGCTGTGGCGAAAATGGCGAATGCAATAAGTCGAAGTTGGTCAAAATTTGCAGCCACTTTGTGCTAAACGTCTTTGAAAAACTTGTCACCCTTTAGTATCTGGGCTACAGCTGCGCCCCTAAGCCTTGAGATATGCATTGCAACTAGCATTCATCAAACTCCAGAAAAGGAGATTCTACGGAGCAAATTCGCTTGAACGCCAAATGACCGCAAAAATTGGACAGATCGTTAGGTTGTCGAAAAATAATCGGCTTATCTGTGCGTCTATGCAAGGTTGTACCATATGGACGTTCAGTGACGGATTGCGAATTGCGACAGAAAAAATAGCACTTGACATGCTTCAAAATCTACCATCATCTCAGCTCAGATTCGGAGCACCTTCCAGCTCAAAAATTGGGCTTAGCGGTTGAAAAGTTCTCAGACTTGACGAGAACAGCGTTTCTACAAGAACAAGCACTAATCCGGAGCTCGCAGAGCTTCACTGGTAACATGCTACTGCTAGAGAAAAGTTTTGCGATAATCACATTTAGGAGATGTTCGATTAGCCAAAGGGATTCATCAGTTGTGAAATTTGCGTAACTTTCCGTAGCAGTACCGCCTCCATAATTCCATGAAGCTCTGCGAGCTTCGGATCAGTGCCTGCCTTATAGGGACAGTGTTCTCATCAAGTCTGAGAACTTTTCAGACTGCTGAGCCCACTTTTTGACAAAAAATGCTCCGAATCTGAGCTGAGATGATAGTGGGTTTAAAGCATGCCAAGTAATGTTTTTCTGTCGCAATTAGCAAGCCGTTACTGAACGTCCAAATGGTGAAATCTTTCCATAGACGCACAGATCAGCTGATTACTTTTCGACAACCTAACAATTTGTCCAATTGTTTTTGCAGTCATTTGGCGTTCAAGCGAATTTGCTCCATAGAACTCCTTCTCTGGATTTTGATAAATGCTAGTTGTAATGCATATCTCAAGGCTTAGGGGCGCAGCTGTAGCCCATATACTAGAGGGTGACAAGTTTTTCAAAGACTAGCACAAAGTGGCTGCAAGTTTTGACCAACCTCGATTTTACCGCATCCGCCAATTTCGCCACAGCCCCCTTCTGTGCACATGAAACTGCAAGATTTCTTGGAATAGTATTGAGCAGTGTCATATGCACGTAATAGCGAAATTTGGAATTGCTTTATGAAAAAACAGAGTAAGATATAGCAAAATTCAGGAGTAACTGCAACCTTTTGGCTAGCACTGTATAAGGTCTAAATGTCTTTGATCAAAGGAGTCTAGTTAACGAAGTGATAGTAGATGCGTGAACCTACCCGCGCACAGAAAATCAAAGCTAAAGAACAGGTACTGAGTTTCTATGAAGCTTCGAAGTTGCATGTTAAAAAAATTATTCATTAGCCAATCCAATATTTAGTATGCAATTTATGTAGCACAAAAAGCCTTCCACATATAATTTTCGAATTTCGTACAGATTTTTGAAGATACCTGTGCAGACTTCAAAATAACCACTTACTTCTAGTTAAATTTACACCCTTTAGATATTTTAAACCCGGCTTTTTTTTCAATGAAATGAGCGTAAAGTGTACTGCAAAAAAGAGAGAATTGATTGATTGGCCTCCCTAGCATTTCTCTTGATTGCATGATGATTCCAGTTTTTCATCGAAAGTGGAGATGATGCAAGCGGAGATAGAACATTTGTTAGGACTGTGTAATGAGAATTACAATAATCTGCATCTTTCAGCATTCCGACCTCATTATGGTAGATAAACTGCTGAAGCAAAAAATAGCGTTTTGAGTGAGGTAGCAAAGTCCTAATTGACATGACCAAACGCTGCAAAAGCAAAAAAAAATCCTTATTAACAGGTTCCGCACCACTCAACGCTGCTTACAAATTTTTCGTACCCGAAAGTAAACTTGATGCTGATCAAAGGTCTTGGCATTTTTTGCACGATCGCGCTGTCAAAAGCAGCTCACGCTCGCTGCGCTCGTTACACGTTGTTGCAATTTTGTGCGTTTGGAATCCGAGTCCTTGAATCAATCAAAAAGCTCTCTCGAAGTTCGCAGAACATTTTTTGCATGAGAAAACGCAGATTATATAGGATCCTGTAAATGAGATTTGATCAAGTTTACGATAAAAGAGAAATAATTTGAAAAATGAGAAGAGGAGAGATACCCACGAACCAGTTGTGCTATGGTAGCCTTCGGTGCATCCTCCTTCCTGGAAAATGGTTTGAATCATAGAGGAATCAAAACAGAATTCGTAAGGATCTTGTGAAGCTAAACACATACTATTATTATCAAATTGTCAATTAGTGCAGTATGTATAATTCATCCCTCAAAATTGCAATTTTCTCATTGAGAGACTTCAGGTGTTGGTAAGTTAAAGCATGCAATTTATTCATTGAGTGAGTAGTTCGGAATTCAGATAAAAATCATTTCTGCACTATTGCACAAGACGAGAAAGTATCATGCGAAAATCTTCAAGATAATGTTTACGTCGATTGTTGAAGTCTTGATATAGCTCCTAACGACTTATATAAAAAATAAGAACTTAGCCTTGAAACCTTCACTAATTTGTTCATTCACCTTTCTGTCAGCAATTTTTCACCGGCAGCGCCATTTGCACGACGAAACCGCTTCAGCAGTGACCGCATAGCCGAAGTCGAACAGAGCGCTTGCAGGCACGCGCGCGATAGAGGAGAACGACGGTGGATGCAGCGATGTGGTGAGTAATCGTTATGACCGCCTCTCGCCCTCATTGCTTGCTTTTTTGCGCATTGCTACGGCGAGATCGCATCAGACACATCATAATAAATTTTATTAACTTTTCCAAAGTATCTGACTTATTTCTGGTTGGTGTTAAAAGCGATTTTCTCGAGTTTTTACGGCGAATATCGCGCCGTGACGTATCGGTCATATCTCCCGTGCAGTGGCGTACCGAGGGGGAGGGCCCCAAGAACGGGTCGCGAAATTTTTGAAAGTTACTTATATGAGTTATAAAATTGAGCAAATGACTTGTCGCACTTGTAAATAATAAAAATAATTTTTAAAAATTTTTAAAAATTCATTTAAGCTTTATAAAAAAAATTGGGGGCGTGGCTGACGCCACGCTCCCTTTTCTGAAATTTCGGGGTTCTGGGCCCGCAAAATCTTAGGGAGCATACCAAAAAAGTTTTCGGAGTGCGTGACTAACGCCACGCACCTTCATCGGAAAAAATTTTCATCGCGCCCCCCCCTCCTCCCCCCACCGAGCCGAAATCCTAGGTACGCCACTGCTCTCGTGATATTGTCGAGCGATTCGAGATTGCTACAATGGCTCGTAACTCTTGTTATTGACAGTGTCAGTAAGCAAGATTCGATAAGCTGATGGGAGGCGTGCAAGTGGTACCCAGGCAGGTTTTTTGTGCGCCACGTCTTATTTTGCGAGTTCTCTATTAGCAGATCTTATCGATCCATGAATGACATATATGCGACTCAAATGAGGGCTTTACGGTCGTATTTCGTAACCTACAGTTATTGCTTTTGCAGCCGCTAAAACCATCTGGTTTTTGTTCTCCTGCTTTTTTGCCGTGATATGCTAGCCGAATTTTAAAGAGAATGTGAATCTTGAGCGTCCAATTGGGGTCAAAACTTAGCTTCCTTGGCTTCATTCGTTCCTCCGCGTTGGATGCAGTTTCATGCACAATCTAACGACCTGTATACTCAAATTCATTTTCAGATTAGGGAAAGCTAGAGGTCATGAAAATGTTTACACAAGTTCTTCTTTCAATCAATAAAATTTGCAGTGAGGCGAACCATGAGTTCTGACCCAGTATTTGCACGTGACTTCGCGATAGTTTGAGGGAGGCTATGGTCATGATCAGTTGCTTAACTGGGGCCGAACTAACTCATCAAATGTTCAACTACGGCTTTCCTTAGTTTAGACGGACTGAGATACTTCACTGCGGGCCAGTGTCTCATGCGATTGTAATATTTCGATATACAGGGTGTCCGAGAAGCATGTGTACACATCTCCTTTTCTGATATCTCTCTTGCTTTGATGCCTAGCTTGCTTCTAGTCACTATCCCTAGGGATACTTCAAATTTCTCCTGATACACAAGCAATGTCAGAAAACTCCAATTCTCCATCTTCCACATTTAAAGAATCAGGAATTACTACTTGTTCATCACCCTCATCACGACACATATCTCCCTCCCCCCACCCCATTGCACAAGAATCAGAAAATACCATTTCTTAATAGTCCTCAGTGACTCGAAACAGGTTTCAAATTTGCTCTCTGTTAAAACCTCTCATTTATAAAGGACACTGTAACAAACTTTCTTCTGTCAGCTCTCTCACGGACATCTAACGAAATCCGAATTAATTTTCCGCTAATCGCTATGAAATGCTTTACAAATTGAGTACTTTCCGGATCATATCACTAAGGCCTAAGGCATGCCTTACGCGACTCCATTCGCGGCGCGATTTAGGACTGCAACAACTCTTCATAATTATTCGTAAACGCAATCTGCTTGGGTTAGACTTGATATTGACTTTGCGAGAGCTTACAGAAGCTATGAGCTAATGCATTTGACACTTGCGCACGATTGATCTGTAGACATTGACGATTGATCTGTAGCCATTTGGCAAAACGCCAAATCGCGTGGATTTAGCGATTTGACGGAATCGCGGGGAGAGTGCCTTAGGCCTAACAGGCACATCATGAGCTTGGCGAGTTTCGGAAATCAAGTAGCTCAACCGTAATTCGGCACGAAGGCGGAAAATGAACACCTGTGAGAAATTTTGCCTTTGCCACTTTCAAATTCACACTTCCCTACTCGATCGCGCCAGCTGTGCGGTCGTGCAGCGCGCTTTCTTCCCAGGGGACCGTCATCGCCTCTGTTTCACATCCTGACCGAGGAGAGCAGTTAATCAAAATTCTATTAGATAAAAAACTCTGGGCGCACAACAACTTTATGCAGAAATTTGGAATACTATGTGAACGGAATGTTTTGCTCCGTTCACGGCGGCATGAGAGTGGCAGCTGTCGTCTAATCAGAAGTTAGGACATGCTCTCTGTTCACAAAAATTCCTCTATAAAATTTTTTCTCATTCCCCACTGCCCATGACATATCTTCAAACCCTCGTTATGTGCGTTCCAAAAACGAATTTTTCTCAGAATTCTCTGCACTGCGCTCGTCTTGGTTCCTGGTCATTTATACACCATATTCCGCAAGAAGGAGGGAAGTCCTTTATGATGTTAACAACCCGGACGAGCTCATACCAAATTGTGACCGATTCATCGAGGAGGACCCAAAAAACGACTACCATTTGATTCAACTGGCTTGGCATCGGCAAAGGCGGGGCTTCGTGATCTAATTAAGGCTAGGTAATGATCAGAGAGCACTTGCGCGAGAGAGACGCAGTTGCGTCGAGGGCGCGAGCGGCCTCAATTAGATCACAAAACCCTGCCCTAATGGTGCCAAGCCAGTTGAATCAAATGTTACGACCGGCTTCTGATTTCATTGCGAGCCTGCGAAGAAAGCATTTCAAAGACCTCTGGGGAGAACTTGGAATGCATTTCGAAGACCATCAAGAAATCAAACAGAAGAAGAAGATCTTTGTGGCAAAATTCGAGTACAACCCATCTCGATCGACTGGCAGCCAACGGCCAGTCGCAGAACAGCTTTGCAGGAGGATGTCACAAGTACAGGCGCCAAGATACTGGAAGCAGCCAAAGGAAGACGAAGTCTTAAAGGCAGTGTTCAGACTAAACCTAACCCCCTCCGATTAATGTGGATCCTGAATGTAGGCCCCAGAAAAGGGGCCTCTGCGTTGGTCCGGTCTTCCAACGTTGTGTCGGAATGGATATAAGGGCCTGAAAGTCCCTGGCTGGGCGGAGTCTGACATCAGTCTCCGCCCACCAGGGACTGCCTCCCGACACGTATTGATATGGTAGCGAGCAGAAGCTGCACACTCCACACTGCAGTGCAACTTCACCCATGCAATTGGCAGCTCCTCCCCGCTGGCCTGCCGATGGGGACGAGCGATTCGAAACTCGTCCGCGCCCTCAGGACAGGGTCCCTAGGAATCGAGTTTTTGTGAATTTTGGAGAATTTGAAGTTCGGAACTGTAATCAGGGCCACGGAAAGGCCCCAGAATGACGAAAACATGGGGGACCAAATTCTGGGTGGGCGCTGCTTTTAAGAAGTCCCGAAGGGATCTCTGTGAACAGACGTTCCGCTGCACGCTGAACGAAGACGGGACCGCGACTTCTTCCTGATCCAAAGGAAATCTATTGCGAAAAAAGCTACGCCAATCTCTTTCGCTCATCAACACCCGTGCCTATGCCCGTTGTTCCCAGTGGAGAAGTACCACTATGAATTTCACGTGCTGAAGTGCGCACGGCGATTCAGACCATGAAGACGTCTATGGCTCCAGAACCAGACCATTTTTCCATCGAACTTCTGCGAGCCGGAGGACAATGTCTACACGAGACTCTCGCGTCACATCTAATACCTTACTTTGAGAAGGAAAAATTTGCCAACCAGTGGAGAACTTCAGAATTCAAAAATACCGTCCAATATTGAGTGTGCTGCACAAGTTTTTCGCAAAGATTATCCTGCTCGCATATCTAACTAAGCGGAACTGAAGAACAAGCAGGATCTCGCAAAGGATTCAGCTTCATGGATCACTCCAGACGGTTTCGAGGGTCGTAGAAGTCCGCCGGGGACACCGATTGCTATGAGAGAGCCTTTGACAGCTCGAAACCAATGCCATCTCGTCAGCGCTAGTTCAGGAAATGTGCCGACTGTTACAAGGACTGTACAATAACGATGCAGCAATCTCATCGCCCGTGATCATTCTAGTTAGGATCGATCAAGACAAATTTTGTCGAAGCTGTTTACTGCGGCCTTGCAGTGGTTGATTAAGTCACTGGACTGAGGCGAGAGAAGCGTACGAGTTGATGGGAGATTCTTGTTGAAGCTTCGTTTCGCGGACGACATCGTTCTCTTCTCGAGCAGTGCAGCTGAGAGTTGGCCTGATACTGTAGCCACGTCGAAAGCTCCACGGACCACCCACAGAGGCTGTAGCGTAGTCTTTTGAAGATGACCCGACACAAACAACAACTTGTCGGACTTCGCAGACGGATTTGAGAAGAATATCCCGTCTTCGTGACCCAGCGGAATACGTTGTGAAAGCGAAGCAGACGGCTGGTCACATGAGAGAAGAACAGACGACAGATGGACACTAAGGACATCTGAGTGGATTCCTCGCGAGCCAAACGTCCCCGAGGAAGACCTCTAATGAGATGGGCAGACGTGTTCGTGGAACGGATGGACCAGCTGAGAAATCAGCTGAGTACGCTTCTGGCACCTGGAACTCGTTGACGCAGCCACCGACGACAACCGAGAAGATCGTGGATGTCGGAAACGAAGGACAGGGACCATTGGGAACTTGACTTCTATGCTGGACCCGCACGCCACGCCCGCACGTAAAGTAGCTAACTGTGTAAGTAAAGCGTAGCTAGATCGTTGTGGTCTCTTAGCAATCACATAGTCATAAGCGAGGAATGTTTCCCTGAATTATCTTCGAATAATTCAGACAGGACAGAAAAGTGCTTTTCTTTCGTTCTCATGTTCATTGATTCAGACTTGCAAGAGAATCTATGAAGCTAATCTCTGCAAACCTCATTATATGGATTAAGATGGAAGGTTTATTCCCGTCTATAATTTGCTTACACGTATCGAGATCATAGTGCCTAAAAGTATAAAAATTTGTAAGAACAATGCGATATGGTATTGCCTAAGAAACAAGGACAAGACAGACAACAACAAAAAGATCTATCAGTTGGTGTGAATATTCTGTTTTTGCGTGAGAGCCCAATAAGCTCCTTTAGCTTGCATAAGTTCGTTGTGGGTACCTAAATTTGACTTTCGATAAGAACTAAGTCTGATACAATAACTTCATGAACTTTCTAGTGCTATAAGGATACAAGTATTGAATTGTTACATAAGCCTTGTTACATTCATATTCTTACGGCGCGAAGTAATAAACTTCTTATTTTTAATATGGCTGCAGGGTTCCATTCGATAGAGCAAAAAAGCTCTATAAGATGGTGTACAAATGTCCGCAGCAACTTTAACTCACCGCAAGTTTTTTATCCAGCATTCGAGTTGTACAGGGGTCAAATAACTGAGAAAAATTCATATTTTCGTTCAAAAAAAAATGCTAACGGATCTCAAACTTGCTCACGCATATTGTATATCTATCACATCAGACACTCATATGCACCGCTGGTGTTATTTTCTCATCTAGAAATCAAGAAAACGAAAATTTGTATGCTTGCACAAAAACAAAACTATACTATTTTCACTCATACAGTTATGTACTACAGGCCATTAGAAGTATAACCGTAAATTTTCCGCTTCCCATAAGCCCTAGTTTTCGAGAATATCGATTTTAGCATGGAACACAGAAGTGAGGAGAGCTAAATTCGGTATTTTTCGAAAACTAGGGCATGTGGAAAGCTAAAAGTTTACGGTTATATGTATAAGGGCTTGTAGTGTCATTAACATGAGGAAACAGCGTAGCTTCGTTTTTGTATAAGCATAAAGATCTCCGTTTTCTCGATTTTTAGACGAACAAGAAATACAGCAATCTTATATATAAAGCTGAATGTCTGTTTGTATGTATGTCTGTCTGTCTGTCTGTATGTCTGTCTGTCTGTACGTATGTTCCGAATAGAAAATTTCATTTCTGAACCGATCCGGACCAAACTTGGCACACATACACTACGGGCCCCGGCGGGTGTCATAGGCTACTTTTCGTCATCGATCGATATCGATTTTATCGATTTTCATCGATTTTTTTGCTGAGTTCACCTACGGGGCTGGGAGTTGGCACAGGGGGGTAATCGAGCATGGGGATTCCGAATACAATATTGGTTTTCAGGATTATCGATTACTTTTATCGATTTTATCGATTTTTTTTGCAAAGTTTGAGCTACGGGGCTGGGAGTTGGCACAGGGGGGTAATCGAGCATGGGGATTCCGAATACAATATTGCTTTTCAGGATTATCGATTACTTTTATCGATTTTATCGATTTTTTTGCAAAGTTTGAGCTAGGGGGCTGGGAGTTGGCACAGGGGGGTAATCGAGCATGCTGATCATCCCCAAGGGGGTGATCAGCATGCTCGATTACACCCCTGTGCCAAATTCCAGCCCCGCAGGTCAAACTTTACAAAAAAATCGATAAAATCGATAAAAGTAATGGACGATCCTGAAAACTAATATTGTGTTCGTAATCAGCATGCTCGATTACCCCCCTGTGCAAAATCCCAGCCTCGCATGTCAAAATTTACAAAAAATCGATAAAATCAATAAAAGTAATCGATAATTCTGAAAACTAATATTGTATTCGGAATCCCCATGCTCACTTCCCCCCCCCCCCTGTGCCAAGTCCTAGCCCTGTAGGTGAACTCTGCAAAAAAGTCGATAAAAATCGGTAAAATCGACATCGATCGATAACGAAAAGTGGACTGTGACACCCGCCGGGGCCCGAAGTGTATGTGTGCCAAGTTTGGTCCGGATACGGCGGAGCCGGGTAAGCCAGCTAGTCTTATATATAAAGCTGAATGTCTGTTTGTCTGTATGTATGTAGGTATGTATGTATGTGTGTACGTATGTTCCGAATAGAAAATTCCATTTCTCAACCGATCCGGACCAAACTTGGCACACATACACTTCGGGCCCCGGCGGGTGTCATAGGCTACTTTTCGTCATCGATCGATATCGATTTTATCGATTTTTATCGATTTTTTGCAGAGTTCACCTACGGGGCTGGGAGTTGGCACAGGGGGGTAATCGAGCATGGGGATTCCGAATACAATATTGGTTTTCAGGATTATCGATTACTTTTATCGATTTTATCGATTTTTTTGCAAAGTTTGAGCTACGGGGCTGGGAGTTGGCACAGGGGGGTAATCGAGCATGCTGATCATCCCCAAGGGGGGTGATCAGCATGCTCGATTACACCCCTGTGCCAAATTCCAGCCCCCTAGCTCGAATTTTCAAAAAATCGATAAAATCGATAAAAGTAACGGACGATCTTGAAAACTAATATCGTATTCGTAATCTGCATGCTCGATTACCCCCTGTGCAAACTCCCAGCCCCGCAGGTCAAACTTTACAAAAAAATCGATAAAATCGATAAAAGTAATGGACGATCCTGAAAACTAATATTGTGTTCGTAATCAGCATGCTCGATCACCCCCTGTGCAAAATCCCAGCCTCGCATGTCAAAATTTACAAAAAATCGATAAAATCAATAAAAGTAATCGATAATTCTGGAAACTAATATTGTATTCGGAATCCCCATGCTCACTTCCCCCCCCCCCCTGTGCCAACTCCTAGCTCTGTAGGTGAATTCTGCAAAAAATCGATAAAAATCGGTAAAATCGACATCGATCGATAACGAAATGTGGACTGCGACACCCGCCGGGGCCCGAAGTGTATGTGTGCCAAGTTTGGTCCGGATACGGCGGAGCCGGGTAAGCCAGCTAGTGGTACATAAGAGTGTCTGATGTGGTTTGCAATTTGTGTGAGCAAGTTGGAGATTCCTAGGATTTCTTTGGACGAAGATATGAATTTTTCCTAATTTTTTGAGCCTTCAATGCGACTCATATTCCGCATAACCGGGTGGCTCGAAGCTGGTGCAAAATTTAGCACATCAGCTTGTAGAGCTTGCTTTACTCTATCGAAGGTACCCTGAGGCCCCATCAAAAGTAGGAAGTATACGGCTTATCGCTGTTAAAATTCAAAGCACAAGACTGTGACAATCCAATATCATAAATTGTTCACGAAAATATACTTGAAATATACAAAAAGCATGAAAACCCGAATACCTTTCTCGACAATCTTTCCAGACTTCACGACCATTATACAATTGCAATTAACGACCGTAGATAGTCGATGAGCCACTACGATGCAGGTTCTTCCCTTGGAGGCCTTGTCCAAAGCTTCTTGGACGAGCTAAAATCTCACAAATGATCTCCAAAATCTTGCTAAACCGGATCATTAAAACTTACCTTTTCACTTTCCGTATCCAAAGCGCTTGTGGCCTCATCAAGCAAGAGAATTTTTGGATTTCTGATGAGCGCACGAGCAATGGCAATTCTTTGCTTTTGTCCTCCAGAAAGCTGAGTACCTTTCTCACCGACCCTCGTGTTAAAGCCCTACAGAAAAGCAGGAAGTTTTTGCAAACATCACTTCGAATGGCACAAATAACTAACATCCGGCAGCTCACTGATGAATTTGTGAATGTTAGCTCTCTGAGCCACTTCCATAATCATATCCTCCGTTACTGAGTTAGCAGGAAGACCGTACACGATATTGTCTTTAATGGAAGTATCAAACAGGACTGGCTCCTGTGACACCAGCGCGATGTGAGAGCGCAGGTGGGTCGGATTCATTTCACGGAGGTCATTACTGTCCACAGCCTGAAATGTTTACGTTATAAAGAAATAAAATAAGATTAGGTAGTAGGTTTTTGATTGACTCACCACAACTCCATCTAGTGGGTCATACAATCGTTCTAAAAGAGATACAACTGTAGATTTTCCGCAACCGCTTGGACCAACCAAAGCAAGGGTTTCTCCAGGTTGTACCTATAGCAGTGAGTGATTACTCTCTACAAATATGAAACTCGAAGTTCCTTCATGTGTTGACAAGTATGTTTTATAGAAAATTTTCTGAGTGGACCGATTGAACTGAAACTTTGCACACACTCAGACAATCGACCGGACCCCTCCGCCGGACAGTCGGAATCTGCCAGAGTCGCGCCGGACCCAGTTGACCAATGAGAGCGGGGCAAATGGGCGGTCCCTTCTTGTAGGTCGCGGTGACATCACTGGCAGGCAAATGGGACGCTTCTCCGGCCCTGCTGCAAAGGTACGCCATTTCTGCTCCGGAGGTACGCCAGATTTGGCAGAGCCGCACCGGAGAAATTTGCCCGGCGCGAGTCCGCCAGATTTGGAAGAGCCGCGGCTTTCTAGTGAGCTGGCAATGGAGTGCTGAGCGTCTACTAGCTGTCAGGAAGCGCGCCTGGTTGGCTTGTGCGCTGTACTGGACGGTAAGGTGTTGGAACCTGTCCCGTGAATGTAACGATCCAGAACTCAAGATCTGTGAACCAACCGTGAATGAGCTTGGAAAGTTGAGATTTCTTTGCTAACTGTGGATGGACCAGTCAGTCAGCTAGAGAATCTCCTTGCTAAGCTATGGATATGACCTGATAGCTTCGCAAGATGAAACTCGTTTGTGAAAGTGGATGAACCAGCAATCACAGAGTGTTTTTTTGGCTAATGGAAGCCAAAAAAGTTCGAGGATTTCTGTTGCCAACTGTGGATGGACCAGTCAGTCAGCTAGAAAAAACTCTTTGCTAAGCTATGGATATGACCTGATAGCTTCGCAAGATGAAACTCGTCGTAAAAGTGGATGGACCAGCAATCACAGAGTCTTTTTGGCTAATGGAAGCCAAAAAAGTTCGAGGATTTCTGTTGCTAACTGTGGATGGACCCGTCAGTCAGCTAGAAAACCTCTGCTAAGCTATGGATATGACCTGATAGCTTCGCAAGATGAAACTCGTCGTAAAAGTGGATGGACCAGCAATCACAGAGTCTTTTTGGCTAATGGAAGCCAAAAAAGTTCGAGGATTTCTGTTGCTAACTGTGGATGGACCCGTCAGTCAGCTAGAAAACCTCTGCTAAGCTATGGATATGACCTGATAGCTTCGCAAGATGACTCTTGTTGTGAAAGTGGATGGACCAGCAATCACAGAGTCTATTTGGCTAATGGAAGCCAAAAAAGTTCGAGGATTTCTGTTGCTAACTGTGGATGGACTAGTCAGTCAGCTAGAAAACCTCTGCTAAGCTATGGATAGGACCTGATAGCTTAGGCAAGACTCGTATTAGTAAAAGTGGATGAACCAGCAATTACTAGAGTCGAATATTGGCTAATTAGTAGCCTAGAGTGCGAGGAGTCTGTCGCTAACTGTGGATGAACCAGTCAGTTAGCTAGAAACCTCTACTAAGCTGTGGATAGGACCTGACAGCTTAGTAAGACTCTTGGTCGCGAAAGTGGATGAACCAGCAATCATGAGAGTCGAATAATTGGCTATAGAGCCTGCCACGCGGGTCTTAGGCCTTGATTTCCTGGGTCCTTAGAAGGAATCGCCGAGAAAATACAAGGAAAATCACTGGCCGATGCACCAATTTGATGGGTACCAAGTGATTAGGGGTAGACGAGGTTGTGGAATATGGATTTATTCGCACTGACGTAGATTAGTCGTGAAGAAGAGTGAGGTGTCCCGGTGTGGACCGGGGAGCCAACCTCTAATACATTCGGAGGCTCCTTATATAGGAAGGAAGGCGGAGCTGAACCGAGTAAAAGGTACAATGTACACGAGTTGGTGCTTGAAAGGAGGTGCCGCCGATTGGCTACACTCCTGGCGCACGGGTACCACTCACTCTTGAGTGATTAGATACTCAAGAGTGAGTAGCTCACAATTTAGCCTACGGGTATTCCGTAGGCTATCTAGAATATAGAGTTCATCAATGGTTGATGATACAGAAATCATCAACAGCCAGAGCATGTATTTCCTTTTCTTTTCAAGATAATTTGCTTTTATTGCAGTGATAACATGGCACGAAATTTGCACTATACAGTATCCAATAACCTCACGTGATTATCGTGGTTGGGGAAAAGGGATAGCATTTGAGTATGAGAACTTGGCGCTATTCCAGTATCCGGGCCCCAAAATTTTTTTGACGTGGATTTCGCTGAAACTTGCCCCAGGGGGGTTATTCGCCACGCTGATGCCGTATATTACATTGGTTTTGTACGGTAGCCTCATTTTCTGGGGTTACGGTGGGTATACGGTAGGGGGTCAAAATCACGGAATTCGCTGAAACTTGGCCCAGGGGGGTTATTCGACACGCTGATGCCGAATATAGCACTTGCTGACCGCCACAACGCGTTGTTTTGTAGTTACTGTGGGTGTAGATGCGGGGTCAAAAACCATAGATCAGGCTAAAACCTGATCTAAAGGCTTTATTCCAAAGGCTGATTCCGAAAAGCATGCTCTTCCCTTGGTGAAATCTTTTTTGGCTTTTGAAACTTTTAAATGACCTGAAAAGTGCACAAATTTACTTGTTCACTGCCAGAAAAAGTAAATTGGTGGCCCTAAAGAGGGCCGTTGGGATAGAATATGTCAGTCAGCAATCAACCGGGTAACTCGGCTACCTGCCTCCAGAAGTTGTAGAAGGATTCTTCACGCTTGCCGAACTCTCGTCTCCACAGGAACTCCCTCAGGTAGTCCGGACCGTACAAAACCAACGTGATATTCGGCATCAGCGTGTCGAATAACCTCCCTGGGCCAAGTTTCAGCGAATTCCGTGATTTTGACCCCCTACCGTATACCCACCGTAACCCCAGAAAACGAGGCTACCGTACAAAACCAATGTAATATACGGCATCAGCGTGTCGAATAACCCCCCTGGGCCAAGTTTCAGCGAAATCCACGTCAAAAAAATTTTGGGGCCCGGATACTGGAATAGCGCCGAGAACTTTGTGGAAAAAAAAAATTTCAGTATATCGGAAGTCCGGCTCCCACAGTTTTCTTGAACGAATCTTTGGAAAGTAAAGCGGTCTAGTTTTCAGTACACGTAAATGTGGATGTAAAAAACATTACTAAAACGAAATAAGTTTTTGCATCCGTGCGAAACAAAGTATCGTCGACTCTAAAAATCGTGACGACGGTCTGCAGTGCGGCCAGTGCGCGCCGCACGGCACTGCCACCTAGTGATTCGCCCAAATTACGTGGAGAAGGTGAGTTCATGTGGTTTTTCTTTTTCTTTTTGCATCTTTTTTGCTTGCAGGAACTTTCATGGCTACTGCAGGGAGCCTACACTGCAGAGAAGCAAGATTGCCCTACGATAGAGCGGCAGTGCCGTGCGGCGCGCACTGGCCGCACTGCAGACCGTCGTCACGATTTTTAGAGTCGACGATATACAGTTTTGCATGAAGTCCCCCCCCGCTTCCCGGCATTATATCAGGCTGACGCGCGGGAACTTTTCGGGTTGCTGATAGCAAGCTCCAAATCACTCTCCAAGATTAGAAGGCGTCGTCCTGCGAGAAACTTATCAATAGTTTAACTCTTCGAAAAATTCGAGAGATCTCGCTGCCTGCGCTAAGCCGAAATAAATTTGAATGAAATGGAATGACGCGGGATTTTACCTTTCTTGGTTAAGCGAGAACGATTATAGGTTAATAGATCTGGTGATACTCATAGTGTGCTTGCGGTGCCGACAACGCTTGCGCGTGAAACATGGCCATGGAGCTCAAAATACGGAAATGCACGCTCTGTGCACTTCAAACAAGCAAAGTTTCAGGCATTATAGGCACTAGAATTCTCAAGCACAAAGTTGTATTCTTTTCAAGCACCAATTTTGCTGGTGCCGCGGTTTGGATCATTATACCAATAGTAAAATGACTCACAGAAACGTCAAGTCCTTGAAGAATGGGTACATTTGGCCTTTCTGGGTAATTGAAGTAGACATTGTTGAGCATGATCGATCCAGTAAGTTTTGGTTTCTTGCCCTTATCAGTCATTCCATCAATTCGCGGCTCATCTTTCAGCATATTGAAGATGAGACCAGCGGCAAATGTTGCTTTAACGTATTCAGGGAAGTAGGCACTGGCAAATCCTAAGCTTCCAGCGGTGAACGAAATGGCGAAGAGTACCCTAAGAACAGGAAATTATTCTGAGAAAATATTGAAAAACTGATTTTCATTTACCTTAGAACATTCATTGGCTGCATATCGCCTCTGAGAATGAGCCACAGACCAAACCGGAAAGATGCTGCATACAAGAAATAGAATACACTGCTAGCGAAACCGTATGAAGCACCCTAAAAGGTATACAAAGATTAATAACGAGTTCTGGCACAATTCCAAATCCATACCTGCATTACTGCTCTTCGTCTATTCGTCTTATGGGGTCCATCCAAGTGGCGACAAAACTGATAATGCAAGCGATGTTCTAATGTCAGAGCTTGCACAGTTCTGATATTTTCGATGGCTTCCATCGCAATCTAAATAAAAATTTTAAGATATTCCTGCAATATCTGATACAGTATCTGGTCACTTACTTTTCCACTATTCTCCATTTCTTTCGCATCACCTCCAGCTCGTCCAGACATGAATCTCATTTGGACAGCGTGCCCAACACCAGAAAGTGGGAATATCGCAATAGTCTAGATAATTTTGAATTACGAGGATTGGAAAGTTCTCTAATCAGGGCTTGATGCAATCTTCTACTCTCGTGTTGTTACATGAGTGTTGTTACATTCAACGAAAAAAAATTTTATAACTTGTTCAAATGATTTTTTCCTTATGTTCCAAATACGCAGAATGTTGTGCATTTCTAATATAAACCAGCCATACCTGAAGAATACATTTTTTGGTCTTTGAATTTTTTCGAATCATTCTTGGCAAGTTTCCAATTTGCTTTGTTGAGGGGCTAACCCGAACTCTTTGCGTATTACCTGATGCTCTCGCAAATGAAAAATTTTGAAATATGGAGAAGAAGAATGAGAAAGTTCAAAAAGAGTACTATGGAGGTTTGAATGCCGCAGAAAATTGCATTTTCAATGACTATAACCATGCCCAAAGGGGAAAGAATGATGCCGATGGGCAGCCCTCCATCCCTTCCCTATATGAGCCGAATATGAGACTTTGCCGAATTTTTGGAGTGCTCCAAAAAAAAGAGGAAGAAGATGCAACAAAACTTATGTAACAACCTAATAAATCTCCGTCAGCACAATTCATACTCTGTGTTCAAAAAATACTTTTACAGAAAATAAAACTCTACGCAGATGCAGTAAATTCTTGTTATTCACCAAAAGAGCCATCTGCCATCCGAAGTAGAATGCGATACCGATACCACAACATACGGACACGAATGAGTTGAAAACAGATCCGAAACGATAGTCGATTGCCTGAAAAAACCTGGATTACTCAAAACCTGCGATGATATTGACTTAAGAAATATTTTCGCATGGGAGGGGGAGGGGGAGAGGGAGCAAGATTTGTGGGCCCATCGGCAGCACGCCTCGCAAAAAAAGGTCTTAGAGAGCTAATTGATTCATAGATCTTATTGACTATTTACTAAAAACAACTCAACTTCATTACTTCAGAAAAAATCATTTTTGTGCCTAGAATGTTCTGATAAATTAAAAATTATTTTGGCAAAAAAGTTCATTTGCTTACTGAAAAGTCCCGAAAAGAACCTAGAAAATATACGTTAGTTCTGGCAGGGGCAAAACGGGGTTTTCAGTTACATTTTTATTCATGCACCTCATATACACCATTTTCAAAGATTCCACCTACAGAAATGAAAATAACCTACAGATTTTACATTTGGAGCGTCAGTAGCAAGACGGGTGGTGATTTTTCCAGGCGAATGGCGAGGCATGTCAAAATAGGTAGCATCCATTCGCATCACATTATGGAATACTTTGGATCGCAAACGCATTGTCAGTCTTTCAGCTGATAATCCAAAAAAGAAACACTGAAAAGGTAGTATTCAATGAAAAACTACACAGAAATGCTTAGGCCACGTCCACGTCTGTCCGCAGCCGTGTCAGCGCCGTGCCAGAACTCCCTATTGATCGGTGACGTTCCGGCAGGCTACTGACACGGCAGTGGCATTGCGTTGGCGCGGCAATTCAAGACGCAGTTAAAATTCGTACCTGCGTAATCATACAAACTGCTTCCACTCCACCCAAAACAAGGAACATTAATGCCCAAAAATGACCCCTCGATTGAAGATCTGGATCGCCAGGTGGTCTGGCGAAGACCTAGATATGGGAAGGAAATTGGCTATAAAAATATGTAGGGCTAAAAGACTGTTTACTTCAATAATTTCCGTGAAGAAAAGTGAAAATGCTGGAAAAACGCAGCCTTGAATTATCGCAGAAAACACAGCGAAAAAAAGAAAAGCCCATTCGGGACGAGCATAGTGGAGGATTTTGAAGAGATTAGCCTTCACTGCTCCTTCCTCTTCGAGTTCTAAATAGACAATTGAAAGCGCTAAAAATCAAACTGCTCGAGCAAATCACCTTTTTTCAACCTTTCCAAATCTTTCTCTGCTTTCTTGGGATCGCTTTGTTCAATTTTTTCAACTTCATGAGATAGCTGGGACTTCAGGCGCTGTAATAACACTCTTAATGTTTTAATGAAATTTTTGATTGCACATGCTTTCACAACGTGAAGAGAATTCCCTTTATCCCCCTGCCGTAGAATGAATTCTTGAAATTAAATTAACTTGATCTTAGAAAAAAAAACTAGGTTTTTTTTCAATAAAAATAATCTTTGAATTTCTGACATTATATGTTAGAAAATGATTGAATGATTGCAAAATTACGACCTTTTTTGAGCGTTTAGAAGTGACTATGGCAAGTTTGGTTTTTTTGTAGATGATAATTTTTTATTTCTATCGAAAATTACCCTCAATTCAGGATGACCGGTAGACGATGTGCTCGATCGTCGTGATGAAATAGATTTTCTCTTTCCTACTCCTTTTGCCATATCTGCAAAGTGGAAATTATGCACAAAATTTTTTAGCTCATCCAGCAAAAAATTAGATACCAGGATATGGAAGAAAGTGGCAAAATGTGAAGATCATATGAAAACTCACCATCATCCACATCAGCAAAGACTTGAGCATTTACAAGTTCATGATAGAGGCCTTTACGAGCAATAAGTTCGTCATGAGTGCCAACTTCGATAACCTAAACGAGCATCATATTACCTACAACTAACCTTGAGTCATCCCCCCCCCCCCCCCAAAAAAAAAATTTGTTCACTTCTCCATCCTTCATGGCTATGATCCTGTCAGCATTACGGATGGTGGAAAGTCGATGAGCAATTACAATGGTGGTGCGACCTTGAGAGGCCTGAATATAATGAGTTGCTAAAGTTTTTGTTTTTTTACTGTTAACTTGTAAGTGCTTCCAACTTGGTGGTAATTTTCTCGGAAAAAAAGAACGTCTTGTCAAAACCCTACTACAAAAAAGTAGGTGTGAAAAAACTTTAAGAGTGCTTTTCGGTCGTCCAAACTTCTCTTTTCATGGGGAAAGATTTCCAGAACTTCCACAAAGTCCTATAGTAGTCTTATTTTACAGTACTCACATTCTCCAAGGCTTGCTGCACAACATGTTCACTCTCAGCATCCAAAGCGCTGGTGGCTTCATCCAGAAGAAGAATTTTTGGATCTCGGACAAGTGCACGAGCTATAGCAATGCGTTGCTTTTGTCCACCAGACATTTGTGTACCGCGATCTCCTACATTCGTTTTGATTCCCTGCAACGTAGTAGGCAAATTTATACAAAAATATTTTAAAACCAGGGCTTACATCGGGGAAGCTCTGCACAAAGTTGTAAGCGTTCGCTTTGCGAAGAGCTGCTATAATTTCAGCTTCTGTGATGTCTTCTCGTCCGTAGCGAATATTCTGAAGATATGGTCTGGATAAGAAAAAGCTATTTTTGCGAAATAAAAATTTAAAAACCCAAGTTCCCTTCCAAAAAAAAACAAAAAAATTCCACACCTGCTCGATGGTTGTATTGAAAAGAACAGGCTCTTGCGATACTACAGCTATGTAATTTCTGAGGAACTCAATATTGATTTTATCGATCTCAATGCCATCTATAGAAATCTGTAAAAAAATTATTGCAAAAAATTCCGATCGATAAAGTGATCTAACCTTTCCTCCAGCTGGATCGTAATATCGGAGCAGCAACTGTATTATTGTACTTTTGCCACAACCACTGGAGCCGACTAGAGCAATCGTTTCGCCAGGATTTGCTTCGAACGAAATGCCCTTAATAATAAAATTTGGAATTTTTTTCGCAACTTTTGAAGTTACAAAACACAGCAGTGATGGTCGCAACGCAAGTTTACAGGGCTTCAGAAATTTATGCAATGACAGTTTTCATTTTATTTTTGTGTTTTTGGACTCATACTGAACAAAAAGAAGCTATCATTCATATTCTCATTCCTAAAGAGCGATGAAGGAGGGGGGGGGGGGGGGGGTGAGGGAAAAAACAATGGTCCGTCACCTGAATACACAAGAGATTACATAAAACTTTCTGTGCATAAAAACCAATTAACGGGTTCAAAGCCCTCAAAAGAACAACATCTGACTATTACTTACCTTGAGGATAGGTATGTCAGGCCTAGTTGGGTAACTGAACTTTACACTCGAGACGGAAATTCTCCCTCTGAGTTTTGATGGCTTCATGCCAGCCGTTGAATAGGCGTCAATCTCTGGCTCCTGCAAGGAAAATTTTGCAATTTGTGGTGAAATCATGGTCTTTCACTTACCCTATCGATGATCTGGTATAAAGATCCGGCAGCTCCCATAGCAGTACCGAGAACAGCGAACTGCGGCCCAGCTTGGCCGAGGGCCATGGAACCCATCATAACGGAGAAGAACACCTGTACCAAGAAATGGTACACTAGAGGACGAAGGGTGTAATAGGGAAGATTTTTTAGATAGTCCAAGTAAATGTTTCGGTATGCGCACCCAATTTTTGTTATCAATTTGCGTTAGATCTGATTTTTTTTGTCTAATTTTCAGAGTCATGAGCTCGCCAAAATTATGAAGAAGATTTCAGAAGTTTTTGGATACTTTCCATCTTCAGCCCCTCCCGGAACAGTACTTCCAATCGCCGGGTGTACCGTGTAAATTCCGATGCAAAAAGATGGTAAAACCTATCTGAAATCATTACATATTCATGAAGAGATTTGATTATTCATGGTTTTCTAGAAAATATCGTAAACTGAACAAACAATCAGCCGAATGAGGAGGATAAACATCAGATTAATGAGAATAACTAAGGAGATTTGTATCTTTAACACATCAAACCTTTTAATCAACTGATCAGCATAAAAACTGTATTTCTAGCTTCGCTCCGGAATATCTGAGAAAAATGTTGAAAAAGTTTTTGAAACCCTCAAGTTTCAAATTTCACAGTTTGCAAATATTAGGTCGGTGCAAAAGTTTTGTCAGTTTTTTCAATCCATCGGCAATCACGCTTGAATGAAGATAAACAAACAAATCAAAATGTATCCGATGCAGAATTTCTTCCTCTTTCCAGCTGCTTAACTTCCATTGTGTTTCATTGCAAGAGTGACGAGATATTTGAGAATTACAACCACAGAATTTTTACCATGTCCAACTTTCACTGATTTTCAAAAGTTTTGTATGAGACTTTCGGAGGAGCCCTAATAACCATTAGATAGGACAAACCTTTTGCCAACCGAAGCAATTTTTTGCAGCCCTACAGCTTGTCTTCCAGAATTTCTACGATTCATTTTTTGAAGTGACCAAAATTTACATTCAGCCTATTTTAACTTCGTAGAACATAGATTGTTAAACACTTCAGTCACCATTCGATGTAACTTTTTCTCCTCCTTCTAACACTTGTCTTTTTTTGCCAAGACAGGCGAAATTTGTGGGAAAAATCGCAGTAATTCTCAATTTCAGGAGCGCGCACTGACGTAACATATGTTTTATAATCTTCATAATTTGAAGCGAAAATCGCTCATTTACTTTGTAATGGTGGCGGTAGTAATAATCGAGTGTTGAAATCTCAGTATTCTATAGGTTTCGCAGTGTTTGGTGCAATAACAGGTTATGCGATTATTCCATAACACAAGACTTTTAGAAAATTATTTAGCAAAATTTTGAAAAAGCAGCTGCAGAAAAGAAAAAAATTGCGTAGGTTGGCAAAAGGTTTGCTCTATCTTGTGGTTATTAGGGCTCCTCCGAAAGTCTCATACAAAAATTTTGGAAATTAGTGAAAGTTGACATGGTAAAAACAAGTGGTTGTAATTTCCAGCAAATATCTCGTCACTCTCGCAGTGAAACACAATGGAAGTTTAGCAGCTGGAAAGAGGAAAAAATTCTGCATCGGACACATTTTGATTTGTTTGTTTATCTTCATTCAAGCGTGATTGCCGATGGATTGAAAAAACTGACAAAACTTTTGCACCGACCTAATATATTTCATTCCATACGCACTTATATAGTAGAATTTCGAAAAATCGAGAAAATGAAACGTCCAACACTAAATTAAAGTATAGAACTAAAATCAGCTCTCGTCTTCAGTTAGCAATTTTTCTGTTCAATTTCAGAGTTTATTGCTTTAGCGTATCAATCAATAATAGTTCAATAATAGCTTTTATTCAAACCGCTAGGAAAAGGAGTCTTGTCCCCATAATATTTCGAAACAAACGAGTCCGTTAATTTTGAGAGATAAGACTTGCAGAATTTTCGAAAACTACCCACAAATTCTATTTTTTATTATTAAAATTGTCTGATATAAGGAAACTAACCGTCATGACCGTTCCTCCTTTCATCGTGCCATGGTACACAAAATCGGTTCCAACCCAGAAGGCCAGACAATATGATGAGAACATGATAGTAAAGGTTAGAGCAAGACCCAGCCCGATGTACAATGACTTCTTTATGCCGGTTGATCTACCAGCCGCCAGAGCGACGTCGTACCTGAACAGGGCAACTGCTGCAGGTTACGGTGAGACTACAGTAAGTGATAATGACACCTTTCGCATTCGTACGGTTGTCCATTGAAAGCAATGACCGTCCTCATTGAGGTCAGCACTTCTTCAGCGATTCCTCCAGCAACTGCGTATTTCTTCGCTTCTTCCGTAGCAGCTGATGCCATTAACTGGAGAGAATTTAAATATTTTGATTTCACAGAAATTCATAAAATTCAAGAACCTTAGCGATGAAAGCTCCACAAACGATCATAAATGGCGAAAGCGACATCATGATGAGTGTTAACTTCCAATCATATGTAAACGCAACGATAAATCCACCAAAAAATTGTGCAACGAACTGAATCATCAGACCGAGTTTGTCTCCTGTGCCTTCTTTCACCCTCTCGAGGTTGCTAAATCAGACAGTGATAGATAACAATGTGACATGTCAGACGAGAAAAAAAAACGTACTCGAAAAGTTTCGTTGCCAGATTTCCGGAGTTATTTTTGTCATACCAAGTGATATCTTGCCGGAGAATCGCTTTGAAAAATTCTCTTCGCAATTGGTTTACTAGATTTTCGCATACGGTCAAGAAACACATTGCCTGAAATCGTCTTACATTTTTCAAAAAACTCTTAACCCTTTTTGAAAACCTTGAAAATTAATAATTTGCGTATAGGTTCAAAAAATCAATAATTCAGGGGTCTTGATCTCATCCGAGAAATTATTGAAAACCTTTGTGCATGTAGAACAGGCTATCTGTAGTTTTGAGATGGAAACTACTTAATTGATTATTACTAAGCGATTACCCAAGTAGCAGCTTATAAATTTTTTGGTTGAGAATTTTGAATCTAAACTCTTGCCTCGACCGTATTCCCTCCGTGCCTATCAATCAGCTCCTTCGAGTAAAGGAATTTGATTGAGCTTTAAAAGAGCGCGGTCTAGGCAAGAATTCAAAATGAAATTATTCAGCAACGAATAAGTTCTATGACTGCCACTTAGGCTGGTTGATCAAAGCCTCCCACACAGTAATATAAAAAGAGTAGCCACTTTTTTGGACGCTGTTTTCAAGTCCGAAAATTCGAAGGAGAAAATCATTGTTGGAAGCTAGGTAAGACATCTATACTTGAGGCTCCTACCGTCTGGGATGTCATGGGATGTCATTATTAATACCGATTGCTTTCTATTCAAAATAAGGCCAACGAAGATTACCTGTATCGTTGCCGCTGCGAATATACCGCAACCCAAGTAGACATATTTGAGACAATTTTGAATGACATCATGCTCAAATTGGTGTATTATATTGGGATCTGAATATGACCATTTTTAAAAGTGTCGTTTTTCAAAATTTCTGTATAACACTCACCAGTGTAGTTACCAGTAACGTCCATAAAGTTTTGGGAAACATTACCCTAAAAGTTAGCTCCATTTGCATTTATTTCAGAATATGATTAAAAATGTGTGAACCGACCATAATAATTGACATCAAGGGCATGCCAACACCCGTCGCAATGCTAACAAGACAACCGAGAAGCAAAAGCAATTTGTCGAAACCCGATGCATAACGAAACTGGAATATGATAGATTACTGTAACAGAATTGAATAGGGGAAGAGGGATATGAGAGATTGTTCAACATGCTAATTATTAGTGGCATGAACAGATGTCCAAAAGTCAAACAGATAAGTGGGAGGTGGGGAATGACTATGTCAGATCCCAGTGATTTCCCAAGTTTTGACATCAACATGCAAATATGAGAAAAACTGCTCTGACTATTAGAAAGCATGAAATTTGAAAAGGCGCCGGAATGACAAAAAAAAGAGATGTATTTGTAAGAAGTTATGCGCTTGGAGGTAACAGTATAGGCTGCGGAAAAGATTTTAATGCGCAAACATTGTCTCATTGAACCTACATCTTTACTTGACCTTAGTTCTTTCTAGTAAATCATAAGAGAGTGAGATTCGTTACCTGTGTGTCGAAAGAAGTCTAGTGGAAATTATGAAAGTATAATAATAATGAACGACGCATTTTGAACTTGAAAAATAAGAAGTAGTCAGCACCATCGATAGCTTGACTGTTCATAAGATGAAGAAGACCTTCAGTCAGCGTGTCTTATCTCACATTCTAATGAACTCATACATAAATTTTTGGAAATGATAATATTCCTCCCATGATTTCACAAATTTCAAGGCAGATAAAATTTTAGGCAATATTTGATCTGAACATGAATTTTCCAGTGTCTCCTTTCAGGTAGGCACTTCATATTTGGTGTCATAACATTACTTTTGCTGAACAAAGAAACCACAAATGACGTGCTCAACGTTTGGAGCATTATAAAATACAAGATAACAAGAAATTGAAACTTCTACAGACTGTAATAGCTTGGCTAGAAGGATGTTTGCATCTGGATGCAATTACGAAACTACATATAACATAGCGGTTTCTAGCTAGGATGCTCCTAAGGAAGCATTTCTAAACCTCTAACACCGCTTAAAAATATTAAGAATTTTATTAGTGATAAAAGTCAGGTATTTTTTATACAGCTAAACTCTGTAAAAAAAATCACATTTTTGGTATTCTATCTTCGTATCCATGCTTTGGCGAGTGACAGTTTTTCCTGTATCAAACTAGATAATTGATAATGTTCTTAATTAAACCTCTAACAAATGGAGTTAAAATGACAGCTCCCTTGAGATAATCCACAGAAAAAAAAGATTTTTAGAGGAGAATTAATACCCTTATTCCTTGCATTTCACTAACTTTATCGCAATATCATGAAGTCGCAACCTCGTGCGCTCAAAAAGATGGCTGCCATCAGTACTATTTTCATGACAGCATTTTTGGTCACAACTTTACACTCTTAGATTTCTTTTAACGATTCGGTCGGTAAATGTGACTGCAAAAAGGCGTGAACTTGATTGATATGCGTTCGTTTCAGTTTTTTTGGTCGCGTGATGATCTAGATGTTTTACTCGACAAAGTAAAATATATGCCATATAAATTTGCGATTCGATTGCGAACAGAAAACAATTCTATCAAGACCGTCTGACAGCTTTTGAAAAAAAACTCTAAATTAAATAGGCGCATTTTTAACACTCAGATTTCATTCTGAACTGTATGGCTGAAAAATATACTCTCGTGGGGAATAGCAAAAACATCCAAATTGGCAAACATTGACGTATTTGCAAACACTGCAAAAACAAAGATTTATCCCATAAACTATCGGGTCCGCACTAGTCATCGCTGCTTTCATATTTTTCGTATACTCAAAGGTAAACATGATGCTGATCAGTGGTCTTAGCAGTTTTTTCCACGATCGCGCGCAAAGCAGCTCACGTTCGCGATCTTTGAACGCGGGTGACGAAATGTCTCGCATTGCTGAAATCTAAGTCCTTATGTGAACTGAAAGTGCCTTTCAAGATTCATGCGGGTAATTTTTTCTAAAGATGAGAGAGTTTATACGATTCTCATGAGAACAGAAATACATAGGAATGGATACAAGAAAATTTTGTGCATTGAAATATAATGAAAGTTGAACTACAACATCAGTAAGTATTAAGTTGGTGCAAAAGTTCTGTCGTTTCATTTTTGAAAAATCTTAACTTTGCGATCTCTCAATGGATTTGCTTCATTGTATTTTTATTAGAAAGGGCAAATCTTTCGCTTTCAAATACTGCTTTGCCGAGCCCCTGCTATGCACTGCATGCAGAGCTAAAATAGAAAAAGAAGACCACATAAGCTTTGCTCATTTTGAGTTAGATTACCAAAAATCTGGAAAGCTGCAGAAAAATCTGAAATCCACAACACATGAATTCTTTGACCTACTCTTTTTAAGTGTGAAAGAATAGGCCTGTTTGGACGTCTCTGTGAGAAGTTATGATTTTCGCGAAAATTGACAGATTAATTAATTTTGGCATTTTCTGTAGTAAGGTCGAAATTCGTAACTTTTCACTGAGACGTCCAACAGCACATTTTTTCTCTGATGGAAAGAGTAGGCCAAAAAACATATGTACTGACGATTTCAGATTTTTCTGCAGCATTCCAGATTTTTGGTGACCTAACTTAAAATGGTAAAGTTTACAAGGACTACAGAAAATGCCAAAATTAATTAATCTGTCAATTTTCGCGAAAATCATAGCTTCTCACAGAGACGTCCAAACAAGCCTATTATTTCACACTTAAAAAGAGAAGGTCAAAATATTCATGTGTTGTGGATCAGATTTTTCTGCAGCTTTCCAGATTTTTGGTAACCTAACTTAAAATGAGCAAAGCTTATGTGGTCTTTTTTTTTTCTATTTTAGCTCTGCATTCAGTGCATAGCAGGGGCTCAGCAAAACAGTATTTGAAAGCGAAAGGTTTGCTTCAAACCTTTCCTATCTAACAAAAATAAATTGAAGCAAATCCCTTGAGAGAGTGCAAAGTTATGATTTTTCAAATATGAAACGACAGAACTTTTGCACCAACCTAATATTTTCTGCTGATTTATAAAACATGAGAATAAAAGAATAAGGATGTGATAAGAGTGAAGTAATTAAAAAGAAATAAAGACCCACGAACCAATTGAACTATCGACGCCTTCGGTGCCTCCTCTTTCCTGAAAAAATAGATTGAATCATAAATGGATCGAGTTGGATCAAAATACTCAAAAAATTATAGTAACCCAGCTCACTCAAGTATTTCTTCAAGATCATCAAGTGATTTATCGTACTTATCGATTCAAAACAGATTTCACAGAAGTCAAAAAGCCATCACTTTTCCTGTTTTCGAAAAACTACAGAATTCGAAAATAATCTTGTAGTGGATTGATGATTTATAATAAGTCACAATGATTGGTTTTTTAATAAATTGTTAGGTATCCTATGAAAAATGAGCCGAGCCCAGTCTCTTGACGTCTTAAAAGTTCCAAATTGTTGCAATTTTCCTAAAATATATATTTTCGGGAAAAGAAGGTCAAATTGAAATATACTATGTATGGAATTCGAAAGTAGCCAGTGTAACAGCACAAGATAAAGTGATAGTTTGCTAGAGGGGACCCCTGAGGTACTCTCAATGCTAAAATTCATTGTCTACTGCAATTGCCGAGATGTACAGGGCTTAAACTGCTTTTGGAGCGAATTTAAAATACAAGTTTAGCCCCAAAACCTCCAAGAATTCATCCGTTCACCTTTCTGCCAGCAATTTTTCACCGGCAGCGCCATTTGAAGGACGAAATCGTTTCATTAGTGACCGCATAGTGGCGAACTCGAGCAGAGCGAGCGCTAGAGCGCGCGCGACAGAGGAGGACAACGATGAGATGCAGCGTTGCAGCGATGTGGTGAGTAATCGTTATGACCACCCCTCACACATTGTTTGCATGCTCTTGCGCGTTGCTACGGTGATTAATCGCGTTAAATACACTAGAACAGACTTTAGGAAGTTTTTCTACCGCTTCTGCTTTGTTTCTGGTTTGTTCCGAAAGCAATTCCCCGAGTTCTCTAGCGAGTATCGCGCCATAATGCTTATCGCAGCTGCCGATGACTTTACGAGCAGCCCTCGGCTGGTGAGAATTTCGCAAAGGCTGTGGGCGCATAAAAAAAGTTTGTTTGCTTGATTGGCATTGACAGAGTTAGATATACTGTAAGTGTTCGTTTATATACTGCAGTCTACAGAGTAATATCAGTCTCTTTGCATGTTATCACAAACAGACTAAAAAACCCGACTTGATATTCAGTATGGCCGATAACCCGGCATCTTGTCCATAAGGACGAAGGCTAGTTTATTTTTCATTTTTCAAACTTGGAAATTCGAGAACGCATGCATGGACAAGTTCAAACATGTTCTTTCTTCCATATACGTGGTAGAATCGCTAAAATGATGTGATGCACGAGTTTGAACTTGTTGAATAAACATAAGCGATGCTGTATCATCAAAAAGATTTCACAACGTGGACAAAAGCGAGCATTTTCAACCCTTTAAACCCCAACCGGGCTCCTTTTAACATGGAAATGAAATTTTACTCCCGCATGTTTCCTCCCCCATCCGATCCTCATCTCTCCTGAGCGTAGGGGAGACGAGATTTGAGCCGTCTAAGGACCGCATGCACTAACATCCCCGCGGGGAGGGGATCGCAACTTAAAAGAAAGCTTTATATTTCGAAACTCTAGGTACCTGGATTTCACGTTGTGTAGCTATCCGTGACTATTTCTACTACCCTTCACCATGAACATGTTGAACAGGAGCGAGAAGCTGTACGAACCGCATTTTCCAGCTTTTGTATGATCCCTGATGATCCCCGGCACTTTTCTTCAAAGTCATTTTTTTCTCCGAAGTTAACGAAAACCTTCCAAAGTTGTACTCATCTAACACAACAGTGCTAAGCATGTTGCTGACGAGAACAAATGAGTTTTTGAAAAGTCGAATTTTTCGGTAAACCTCAAATTTCGACCTGTGGATCATCGAAAATTTCATGACTTCAAAACATCATTTGTTCTTATCAGCAACATGCTTAGCACTGTCGGGTTAGATAATCTGCACAACTTTGGACGTTTTTCGTTAACTTCGGAGAAAGAAAAATGACTTTAAAGAAAAGCGCCGGGGATCATCAGGGATCATACAAAAGCTGGAAAATGCGATTCGTACAGCCTCTCGCTTCTCTTCAACATGTTCATAGTGACGGGTAGTAGGAATACTTACGGATAGATACACAACGTAAAATCCAGGTATCTGGAGTTTCGAAATATAAAGCTTTCTTTTAAGCTGCGATCCCCTCCCCGCGGGGATGTTAGTGCATGCGGCCCTAAATCTAGCAGTTCGCATAATCGAAGCTACTTTTTGTAGCCCTAGGGCCGCATACATTAACATCGCACCTGGGGAGGGAATCGCAGCTCAAAAGAAAAGCTTTATATCCTGAAGCTCCAGATATCTGGATTTCATGTTGTCTATCCGTAAGTACCCTACTATCCTTCACTATGAACATATTGAACAGGGGCAAAAAACTGTCAAGCCGCATAATCCAGGTTTTTGTATGACTCCCGATAATTCTCGGCGGCCGATCTCCTTTTCTTTAGTGTCATTTTCCTTCCTTCAAAGTTAACGGAAACCTCCCAGAATTGTACTGTTCGTCTAACTTAACAGTGCTAAGCATGTCGCTGATAAGAACGAATGAATTTCTGAGATATCGAATTTTTCGAATCCCAACCTTCGACTTGTGGTTCATCGCAAACTTCCTGATTCCAACACATCGTTTGTTCTTATCAGAAACATGCTTAGCACTGTTTGGTTAGATAATCATTGAAAGTTTCGCACATTTTCATTAACTCTGAAGAAAGAAAAATGACCTTGAAAAAAAAAAGACCGTTTTGCGTTGGGGATCATCAGGAAATCACACAGTAAGCTGGAAAACGCCCTTGTACAGCTTCTCGCTCCTGTTCAATATGTTCATAGTGAAGAATAGTAGGAATACATACTTACGGATAGATAGACAACGTGAAATCCAGATATCTAGAGTTTCATCTTTTCCCTTAAGCTGCGATTCTCTCCTCAGCGGGGATGTTTGCATGCAGCCCTTGGAGGCAGCGTTCGGGCAAAACCGACCCATCTTAAATGTTGACACACTTTGATAGAGGCCCCATCAACTAAGCCAAAACAGCAAGTCCTCTCATTCCATGTTCCATGTTTTGGGCCTTTTCGGCCCGTAGATACCATATTTGAGCTTCGAAACAGATGAAAAGACCTTTTTCGGGGCGTTTACCCCATCTCCAAAAGTCAGGTCGGACAGAATTTCAGTGGGAAAGTTGGGAGGTCGCACGAAGACCCTGCTGCCAGTAATCTTTGCTTTGGATAGCATACACAATGCGGGAAAGCAGTCGTGGGGTCCCGCGCCGAACGGTGAGCGCAATCGTCCGAGCGCGCGCCGAGGGGTTGCTCGCGCCTGTTCAAGGGCTATTTTCTCGGCCCAGGGGCAACATCAACTATCCGGACTGCGCCTGGAGGTCAGTAGGATGACCAGGAATTTCACCATAGCAATATTTCCCAGGGCGCGAATCTGCCGGGACACTGCCTTTAACACCTGTACGGACGAGCTCACGGGCTAGCTACTTTCACGTTGCACCTGCAAGGTGCCACTGTCTGTGACACATGTTTTCACGTTGCACCGCAACAAATTGGCGTTAGAATACTCGTCTACGCTTTTCGAAAGCGGGATCCGGAAACGAGGGCTTTCGGAGATTTTACGCAATTTTCAGTTCGGAGTTGGAATCCCGGACGTCGGAAGGACCAGAAACGTCGAAAACATGGAGTTTTGCTGCCTTTAAACATTTGACGATTTTCAATTTCTTGTACATACTGTGTGCAAGATAATTCAACACACTTCTTGTAGTGTCAAAAGCGACCACTGAGTCAAGCACAAGCCTGCAAGACAGGTTATTACATGATGGATGCGCTTCGTCATGTCTTACGAAAAGCGCACACGATTTGAAAGCAAAGCAAAAATTGACATATTGCTTATTTACAGTGTAGAGACAAGCAAGTGATACCAAATTTGAACTGTTGGCATAGAATATTGATTACAGAAGAATTGTGTAAAGAGTTTCAAAACTTATGTGAAGTAATATCTTTTCAAAAAATGGTCCATTTCCAGACTACCACTAGACAATCTGAGATCACTTGAAGCATATATTTTTTGTAAGCTCACTTAAACTTTGGATTTTTCTATTATGGACGGATTTTCCGGTCAAAAATATCCCTGAGCATGATGACATTTTCATATCATTGCCTTTCCTTTTTTGCTTTCATTTCATAAATCGTTTTGTTAGATGTCGCGCTCCAATGCCGAACACTTGTGCATGCGTAGTATTCAACCCCACTTTGATTTTCTTATGTCACCTTTTTTTATTCAGACTAGTTACTCTTCCTTGTTTACATCTTTCTTTAAATCGGAACAAAGGGGACTTCGTAAAATTTCCGAAAATCAGGGGAGACTTGGTTTTCAGAAACCCTGAAAACCGAATGATGCCGGACCCTGGGCGAGTTAAGCCGAGGTTATATACAGAGAAGGCGGCATTCTTTTCTTGATTCTTTTAATTTCAAACCGTTTAATATTTTACCGTTGTGTCTCGGCAGCTCGTCTGATAAGCATTTGTGTAAAACCTTTATGTTTGTACTCGAGCGATGGATAACATTAGATTGTTTCGAAAGGGTATGCGCAGTCGCGCGATAGGTTTACCAGTCGTGAACCGCGTTCTCGAAGGGCCTGGCCCTGTAAGCATACACGAAGGTTAAAGGCAGTAGGTCGGCAGAATGAGACCCGTGGCAGAACAAGGTCACAGGGTAGGAGCCCCCATAATGGAACCTATGGGCCAAAGTTCGATCTTTCTCTGCCACTTTCAACCCCCGAAATTTCAAAGCGAAAGCAGCGCTCATCTCCCGTCCTCTCCGAACCCGCCCACCCCATGGACGAGCGAACGCGAAGCCCGTCATGGCGAAGACGCAGAGTCGTTGCGGGACCTCATGCTTATAGCATTGCGGCTGGCGCTCTGACCGCGGAAGTCACTCGTCCATGGGGTAGGCGGGATCGGAGAGGAGAGGAGATGAGCGCTGCTTTCGCTTTGAAATTTCGGGGTTTAGCAGTGGCAGAGAAAGATCGAACTTTGGCCCATAGGTTCCATTATTAGGGCTCCTACCTGTGACCTTGCTTTGCCACGGGTCTCATTCTGCCGACCCACTGCCTTTAAACCTTGTAGGCATCGGCATGGAACGAGGCGGACTCCCTGTCTATGTTTCCTACTTGTTAGTAAGTGGTTTCGTTTCAACCCGGGTAGCATCGCTAGATAACCAATCAATTTAGTCGCGTGCTACTGTCTTTAGATGTTGAGATAGTTTGAGGTAACCGCGTCTACGCACTGTTGCAGTGAACGGTTTCAGCTGCGCTGTGTCTATGGCTGAATATTGTTTTGCAAGGCAATGAGCGGGGCTAACCGGAGGCTAGCTGCAACAGACACCAATAAAAATTTCTGAGCAGAATTGTTTATCTTTGGTCATGATGGTATGACTATGCCCTATAGCTCGAAGGTATATCACCCTCGTCCCAGCATTACAACATAGGGCTTTTTACATTACTCGGAATTACTGTAGCAGTCGGACATCTTAGGGGTTTCCTTGAAAAGATGTCCGACTGCTACAGTAATTCCGAGTAATGTAAAAAGCCCTATGTTGTAATGCTGGGACGAGGGTGATATACCTTCGAGCTATAGGGCATAGTCATATCGGCCATCAGATAGAAATTTTTGCCTATGTTTTAGGCTAAGGGCATACCTCACGCGATTTCAGTCGCCACGCAATCTGGCAATTTGCGAGATACCTTCAAATTTAATACTGGCAGACCTCAAATGCACAGCATATTTAGTTTTGGTAAGTTGATAAAGTGCCCTAAATTTCGTACATTTACCCACAAACCCCTTACGGTGAGTTATGCACAATTGGAGTATTGCCAAATCGCAGCGCGACTGAAATTGCGTGAGGTATGCCCTTAGCCTTACACGGGTGTGAAAGTGGAAAGGCCTCAAAGCGGCTCTTAGCGTGAAGGTTAGCATTATTCACTAAGCAATGAAAAATATGCGCCAAAATGGTCCCCAAAGAAGTTACAGAGGATATCTGCCATCAGCCTTGATGATTCAAAAGTTTTCAATCACAACCTCAAGTGCATATGACGCCGCATCTATAGAGTTATATTTAGGAGCACTAGATTCTTTGAAGTACGAAATTAGAAAATTCACTTACTCTTCCTCTGATCCCTTACTGCTTTCTGTTGAAATAGATGGCTTCTCCTTTTCTTCTTTTTTCTTAAACAATCCCATCTTGCACTACCTTAAAAGACGGGTTTAACTATGAAACAGCTTCATTGAGAAAGTGCGAAAAAGGAAAAAAACAGGGATCAGATGCGTATCTACAAACAACGAGTGTACATAAAAATATCACATATAACTCAGAAGATCGTGGAAAACCACTGTTAAGTAATCCAACTACAATATTTGAAAGCTAAACAGCTAAAATGTTTTTTTTTGTCGAGCAGTCTTAAGCAGTTTGACGCTGGGCGCTGATGCAAAAGTGTTATCTCTTATCAGCGTCTCCTCTTCCTTTTGTACGGGCCATTGTGATTTCTTCCCACTTCTGATGGAATCTAGGAATAACTTGCCCTTTATGATTGAGAAAACTTTGTTTTTCTGCCAGGCTTTCTTCTGATTTGTGCTGAAGTAGATAAAGTGTTTGAGCACAAGCTCAGCAACAGAAAAACAATAATCAGCTCTCGCAGATAAATAGATCAGAACATTCTCAGAGATTATGAAACAGGAGAAAAAATACATCTTACAATTGGTTCTGCTCCCGAATTTCATGAGAGAATATTAGGGGAGAAAATGCTAAAATTTTTCCTAATCACCATCCTCATTAGTTTGCTCAATAAATAGTGAAAAGCCATATCTGCATGTTTTATCTTGCATAGTAGGTAAGATTGCGGTCACAATTTCGAAATTTTAATTATGTAAATAGCACTGATAAAGGGTAGCAATTTCGAAATGATTCTAGAAACAAGTAAACAGCGCAAAAGACTTTTTTGGAAAATTTTCAACAAACCGCAAAAATGCTTTTTGATTTTTGTTTCTGACATCGAGCCTGATCAATAAAATCTAAAGGCATTTCATGAACTTGAAAGTGGTTCAGTAATAGTCTAATATGAACTGGATTCTCTCCGGACTTACTATGAGTTTACCATTGACTATTCAGACATAATTGAAAACCCTTGATTGCCACGCAAAAATCCTTAAATCTTTTTTTACCAGTCACGAGCACCAGAAGATCACCGTTATTGTGCTCGACAAGGAAGCGATGCTAATATAAAATAATAAAAAGCCTTATCGCGTCATTACCAAACTTTGTTCCCTTTTTTAATTCCACAATCAGATTCTGATTCACTTACGAAACATCAGCTCTGGCTCTACTTTGGATTCTGCTTGGCATACGGGATCGACCTGCAAATTTCGCGGTATAAAGGCACAAATTCTTTGTCCTCATTTCCTTTCTGTTCACCTCACACCCCCCATGCAACAGTTTTTTTTCAAATTTCAGTTTTCCCGTTTCTTTTTGTTTCTGCAGCTGCTTAGAGCTGGAAACGCTTCTCTACCATTATAGCTTTCACGTCATTGAACGCATGTTTCAGTGTGCGGGTCTGAATAAAGATTGATACTTTTCCTTGCGACCTTCAGGGTTTCAGTAGTGATTAACTAGTTGAAGCATTGTGTGCAAAGTCAAAAGTTTGCAGTGCTTCATAATAATTCACCATACTAAACTTCAGAACACCAAAAATATAATTCTTGTTTGGGTAAATAAGCATAGAGGTTTAGGAGAATCAAAAAAAAAAAGATTTTTTTTTCAACACTCAAAAAAAAGAGAAAACTTCACCTAAATTGTCTCTATTGAACGGATCTTTGCACTCCTACTGATACATATTCAACTAGTTTCTTTAACTTCGTTTGATTTTGAAAATAACAGTACAATGCTGCTACACTTAATAACAAAGTGGTTTATAATTATGCATCAGAGTCAACAAGAAGAATGCTGGCAAATAGTTACGAAGCGGCGTAACATATGGCGTTTTCACATGCTGGATGTCGTCTTTAAAGAACAAAGCAAAGGGGAACCGCACAAGTTTTAGGGAACAATTCCCGCTGAGATGACAAAAAAATCAGCAAGCACAACTCTAACTCTTAATAGGCCCAGAATTAAATAATCAGTTTGTTTACAAAGCAATATCGAGTCACCAGATTTTGTGAAAAACTAGGCGATGGTGGCCAAAAGAAAGCACGGAGAATTGCGAAGCTATGTAAATAAAAGTATTTGTAAGAGTTGTTCTATTTTAGGTTGCTTTCACCGCATTCTGGAAGCACGCTGAGATTGCGCAGCACCAAACAAATCATTATTCTCCTTTTTTCACACAAATTTGCCACATTTTTTACATAAATCAATTCTACAGTGAAGCTTTACCTACGAATAATACTCATCTTAACTCAAGTTTCGTCCCCTCTTCTTTGCTATGGCTCTAGATAACAAAACCTTTTCCTGTTTTTCTTCACTCTATCCATTCGTCGTAGTCTGCAAATTATAAGCCACTTCCAAAAACACCACTAAGGGTGCTTCGCCTTTTCTGCAATATCAAGAGGAGATTCGTTTTCGAAATCTCCGAGTGGAACCTCGTGTTGGACAATACGTTCAGACATGCGCCGAATACTCTGTCTTTTGGGTAAACAGAAATCTTTTGTTTTTTATATAGCCTTCCACAATGTTGTCATATTTTATGGGAAATGCAAGGAGCGGCAGAGTTATCGCCTATAGGTCTGTATAAATTTCTGTGAATCTCACCTATCAAGCGCTACTGGACCCCCTAAAGAAATTTTAAGGCTATAAATGACCATGCAAGAGCGCGACTCGTAAGCAATTGCATTTTCTAGCTTGAACCTGGACGAATAACAAAGTTAATGTAGCAAGTATAGCGCCCGGGCATTTGCCAAGGGTGAATCTGTCCATTATTGCGGGTGTACGGGTCCTAGATTGATGTGTAACGGTACATCAGGTCAGTATTATGTAAATTCACTATTTACTAATTTGCAGTGAGTGGGAAGAAAGAAAAGAGGTGCAGAAGCGAACTCTGCTTGAGCGGTGTTCCTTGGCCAATTCATGTAAGAGCAGCTGCACCCGCTTACCTTGTTCCTTCCCTGAAAGTTGTCCAAAGTGATACAAGAGATTCAAATCTCGAGTATTGAGAGTTGAAGGTTCCCATCTTTTCATAGCTTTGACATGGCGGAATCGAGCAATTAGCAGGAACTTCGAAATCAGATTGCAGGTGCGAGTATCAGCAGGCCTTATCACACAGGACTTCATGGAAATGACCTTCGTGAAATGTGCAATGCAAAAAATATGAGCATGAATCAATACGTCTCAATTTTGATAAACTGCGGTGTGTGGCAGGTTAACAGGCAAAAAAATCATGAAAATAAATTTTGATTTGATTGATGAAAAGTCAAAATAGGAAAAGCAGAAAACTAGTAAAGTTCTTCTCCCGACCATTGGTGGAAAGCATGAGTAACAAATGGCATCATTACATCCCATAAACGAAACACAACAAATGAACTAAAGTTTCATCTAAATTCTAATAATCAAGAAAAAGAATTCTTTCAGTTTCACTTAGTTAGCTGTTTTACTTGACGAAATCATATGTAGACATGTGGCACTCAACGAGGTAATAGGGAATTTGAGCCTTGAGCACTCAGCAAACGAACATAAACCATTGATAATGGTGCATTTCAAAAAAAGCATATGACTTCTCATTTTTCATAGGATTGACTTGCCCAATAGCAGGAAAGTATAACTAAATTTGTCTATTTACCCATCGAAACCACAATTTTCCGTTTTATTTCCGTTCACGCTCGAGACAACGAAACTAATCAAGCCGAAATACAGATGTAATTTTCACATTGGAGACAAAATATCTCATGGAAACCGCTAAAATATGGCTTCGAATGAGAGATGTATGGAGACTTTTTCTCTGTAAACGGCTTTATGAGCTTACATATTGAAATAGAAAAAGCCCGACCAGTAACCTTAGAAACAACACGAACGGGGAATCGCTTGAAAAATGGAAACGCTAGTATATACAGGGTTTGCCATAATTATAGCGACAAGACTTGCTGCAGTTAGCGTACTATTCTATCGCGCACATAGCGCGCCAGTTTTATCGATTTTTCAATCTCATCATTTTTTCTAACTCCTGTTAAAATTTGGTTAAATTTGGTCCATTTATAGTGAAATGGTGAAGCCTTTTCCTGATCGTTCTGCTATCCTTCGTCTGCACAAAGCCGGCCGCCCACCCGCTACGATCGCTATGTAAGCACCTCGGCATCCACCGCAGTGTCGTGTATCGCACACTCCAACGTTATCGAGACCTTGGTGGACTCCAAGACCGCCGAAGAAGTGGAAGACCTCGTACTGCTCGCACGCCGAAGGTCGTCGAGGGCCGTCCAAAGGTCGTCCCGGCCGTCATTCGTCGATCCCGGCGTCAAAATCGACAAAGATTACTACCTGAAGACGATTTTGGAAGATGCTCTACTCCCGTGGGCGAATTCCCACTTCAACGGCCGCCCGTGGACATTCCAGCAAAATTCGGTGCCCGCCCACATGGCCAAGGTCGTCCAAGTGTGGTGCAAGAGCGAACTCCCCGACTTCATCCCGGCAGAAGAATGGCCGGCATCGTTACCGGATTTGAACCCACTGTACTACATCTTGTGGTCCTACCTTGAGAGCAAGGCCTGCGCCATTCCCCACCCCAATTTGGATTCTCTGAAGGCAGCGCTCATCCGAGAATGGGACGAAATCGACGAGGCACTCCTGCGTCCGGTCATCGACGCCTTTCCCAAGCGACTTCGCCCTGTCGTCCGTGCCAAAGGTGCCCGAATCGAGAAGTAACTTATGATTGTTAATGTACCAGTTGCTACTTAATAAATGTTATGTTCATGACTCGTTTGCACTTTTCCTTTCTGAGATATAAGGTGAGATCCTTGTCGCTATAATTATGGCCAACCCTGTATACGACGCTCAAAGCCAAAGTATTAGGTTGGTCAAAAGTTCTGGGACATTTTTAGACGAGATCTGCTATTCCTCGAAACTCAATGCATGTACATCCGACAGAGGTAATATTCGATAGAACAAAGCAAGCTCTACAAGAAGGTATGCAAAAGTTCGCACCAGCTTCGACCCAGCGTAAGTTTGCATCCAGAATCTGAGTAGTCCTAAGGCTTGAAAATTGGGAAAATTTCATATCTTCGT